CGAATATTTGTAATGGAGGAGGGATCCGATGGGCTATACATCTCTTTTTAATTCACAGAAGTCCAGTCGGGGCGGGTAAGAACGTGACTGTCGTCCCGCGCCTGCCAGTGGGCGGAATTTCATGTTCCAATTGCAGAGCCACATCCATCCATGAGCGCAGCCCCTGTTGACTTCCCCACAGAGTGGTACGGATTTTATCGCCCCCCCCCCATAAAGGACGATGGGCTGAGTCAACCGCCTCCCCCCACCCAACCAGGATCGGGCGGCATTGGAAGAGAAGGCCAAGGACAGCGGAAATAGCAGTGGCCTCGTGCTTGTTTGCTCCCAGGCGGAATATTTTCTGCACTCATTTAGGGCTCAGTCGACCTAGACGAAGACCGATCCTTGAAGTGCCAACGAAGATAGCTGCAAAGATCCCCCGTGTAGCCTTCAAAGTATGCTGGGGCAAGTCCTGCTAGCGAGTAGCACCTACGAAGGCCGGCACGCCACACGAGGGGGTGCGTGGCCAGCACCACGCCCGGCCGCCTTTGTCTCTCCAGTGCTGATGTTTATGCACCGCACCAGGTACAGTAGTCAGCTGAGGCCGAGTCGACCTAGGGGAGGCCCAAGACCGGTTCAGATTTTCGCCAGTGTTATTGGCCGTCGTGATCGAGAATCGAATTCGGGTCGCCGTGTTCTTAGCGCCGTGCGCTAACCACTGCGCCACCGCTCCCCCGCGACATCCACCGCGCACGCGCACCACGTGGTACCGCGCGTGTTAATTGGGGTTTTTACACCACGGTCGCTCGATCGCAAATCCCTACCCACTCGGCTTCCTGCCCAGCAGGCCGAGATGCAGATTCAAACAAGAGGAGAAATTCGTCAGAGCGACGCGGATTCGTCATCTGCAAGAACTTCCCATGCCTCTCCCCCCCCCCCCGCTAACTCGGGCACCCCGTCATAGGAATATAGAATTTCCACCACCGTTTCTAAAGGTCACCGATGGAGATGAGCGTCGTGTCTCCATGTGCCGACCTGGGCACGGCCGATCTTTGCTTTTTTTTTGTTCTTACCTCCGTTACGCGTCGCTCGGCGTGATGTCTGGGCTACGACCCCACAACGAAACGTCTGCCTCTCCCTGTCTGTGTGTGTGCGGCTTCTCCCACGATGTGTCCATGCGTCGCACAGAATGATTGAAAGTGCGCGGGTTATTAAAAGCCGGCGCGTGCAAACAAAGGGATTAAAGCAGCTGTGAATTTAAATACTGGGAGATCACACAAATCCGGATTAAATTGCGAATTGGGTCTCGCTCTGTGATGGATGTCAAAATGCACATTAGCTTCAAATGGCAAGACAATGAACCCGGGCCTCAGCTACAGCAGCCGCATCACTAACACCACCGTCATCGTTATTACAACTGATATCACCATCGTCATCATCATCATGCACACCAGCATCATCACCACCACCACCATCGTCATCATCATCACTACAACTACCACAACCACCATCATCATCATCCCCACATACAATCACCACCACTTCTACTTAGACATACATATAATCGCTTACAACCACTACCACCACCACAGCTGCGGCCACCACCTCAACTACCGTACATACACCACCCACCCAGTACCAGCACTACTACTACCTACACTACATACAAACACCTCTTCACAACCACCACCACTACCACCACCTCTACGAACACATACAACCAGACAGACCTCTATCACCAGGAATTGTAATTCAACCATCATTGCACCAATACCATCGCCAACACCCATCACCACCAGCATCAACACCAGTCCTCACAAACCACCACCGCTGCCACTTCCACCACCACAACAACCACCACCACCACCGAGATTCTAACCCAATTCACCAATGACCAATACCACCAATAACACAGCCACCATCACGGCCACCACCATCGCCACCAGGGCCCGAACCGATGTCTCCAAAACGGCCACCATCACGGCCGCTACCACCACTGCCTGCGGTGACCACCTGACCTCTGGTGCCCGTGTCCACACGACGCGGAGCAGGGCAGAGAGACAGGCGGATGGAGGCGAACCGATGCCAGGACACTGCACGGAGCACCAGGGATTTACTGTGCTCCGAGCACGCTCGCAACATTTCCCAATCACCAGCTGTGCCATTTAAATCGTATTAATTATCACCCGCCAAGGATTACAAATGCATCGCTCACACAGGCTTATCAACTCAAATGTATTCTTAATATCATGTGTTTAGTAATATTGTTGTCAGCTGCTCTGGTTTATTATTTTTTGTTCAGTTCCACGATGCCCGTAGTATGTAAAAGAGCTAAAGCTGATTAAAGCGCGTTCAGATTTGAAGTTGAGTTGTTTTTCAGGTCTCAGAGTCGCAAGCGGTTACTGGACGTGGCTTTATAGAGACGTAGGTCCACACACGCTGGCAATTTGGTAAAATAATACGAATGATAATAGCAGTACTGCCCTTGATTTGAAGCCTTCGTGCCTGCAGGAATCCATACTCTTTGGTACTTTGGTAAAGTCACGTAGGTCGAACAAGAAAACAAATAATAAATCACGACGTTTCGATCGCAACACAAGCGGTCGTCCTCAGGCGGATAAAATCATCCAGCAGTGGAGCTGGTTCAGCTGGTTCAGCTGTTCCACTGCTGAAGCAGCGAGAGAATGTTGTTTGTTGTTTGTTGTAACAGCTCTCTCGCTCGTTCAGCAGCTCCACTGCCTGAGGACGACCGCTTGTGTCGCGATCGAAACGTCGTGATATGTTATTTTTTATTTTGTTTAATTTTTCTACCTACGTGACTTTTCCGAAAGAACCAAAGAGTATAGCAGTACTGCCCTTGATTAACATATGGAATGTCTTGTATTCAATATATTCCAAGTGCTGCGGCATTCATATAGATGTAGTTTACGCAAAGCACTCAAGGTAACTTGTATTTAAGTGAAGTGCATTCTATACATATTGATCGATTGATTGAAAAACCTCACAAAGTCTCAAGACTCGCTTTCAGGAGGGTCCTGCATTGCGATGTTTGGCCAATTATATATATTTTACGGAGTCGTTATTTGTTGCATTTTGTAAGAATACCCGCGGGATACGCGGAGAACCTCCACGGATAAGCAGGAGATGACGCTTAAAGCGCCACACAGACCGATTCACGAATCTACTCGCGAGGTGGGCGGTCGCTCCTTCTCCACTGCTGCCCTCTTAGTCTGGAACTCATCGCTCCTCTCCCGGGGTCGTCCGTGCTATTAACTCGCCGCCCCTGTTCAAGTCGGGTTCAAGACCTACGTGCCCCGACTGGACATCTGTGAAGAAAAACGCTTTATAGCTCATCGGATTCCTCCAGTATAATTACATTTTCTGATTCTTCCCTATGACCGACTGTCTCTTACTCTCTAAGTGACGTGTGTGTATATGTACACCCACCGTTTATTGACTGAGTCTTGGCGTGCTGTATGCAACATTAATTCAACTTGTATCTCCTATTGCTGTGGATCAAATCTCATGGCCCACCTCTCAATCGAGCGAGTGTGGGAGCTTCAGAGACCTTCCACGGTGAGCTAGTGGCAGCCCGACGGCTGCGCGTGCCGCCGCTTGCCGCGGGAGCCTCGCGGTTCGAATCCGACAGGTCGCCCTGGTTAATACCGCGGGGTCCATTATTATTATTAACCACGCATGAAACGATGCGCGTGTCGCCTGCTGCACAGTAGAGCACGGTAAAGGGCAATCGTGTGCCGGTGGTGCGGTCTATCCACATTGTTGACAAATTACTCGTACATGACTCGATTTCACAGCAACATCACTCCCTGTCACCCCTCCCCCCGACTGTGAAATGACTGCAGACTGTGTGAAACATCGCAACCTTCCTTCGTCATAACCCTCAATTCGTATTTGTAAATTCCCTGACCCGCCAAAGAGCCGGCCTCCAAAGAGCCCACAAACACAGCGAGTGGCTGGTGGCGGCCTAACGCGGCACCGTTTAATTTCAACTCGTGGCCACCGAATTCACTTCGAATCCCTTCGCGTTCTGGCCAAATGTAGCGACGATCGGGCACACGGAACGGTGCGCTGACATACTCCACCGCACGCCAACGCGTCTTCCAAGGACATCTAGACAAAAGCGAACAACAATGCCTGTGCCTATACGAATAGCTTTTACCCTTTCTGGCAACACAACTGTGGTGTTAAGGTGTTAAAACACCAAACCGAAACCTTTTTTTGCAAGCAATAATGGCTGCATTAACCACACATACTTGTGGTGAGCATGCAAAAAAAATATGGTAAAACCTATTCCTATGTTTTGGGTATTGGCAAGGGAGGTCCCATTACAATACCTGCCATTTGCCTCGGCGATTGTGCCAGGCTAGGTGCACGTTGAGGCCGCGTGAAGTTTCGAAGGCTCTCTGCTGGCAGGAGGTCACGGGACAGAGACCCATGTTCCATGAGGTTGACTGACTGAGATGACTGGCAGATCACCAACTGTGCTCTCACTGTGCAGACTCGCTGCGTTTTATCCGCCCGGCGCTCCGCTGTTGTTGTGATTTACGGTGGTAATTTCACCGGCAGCGATGCAGACAACAGCTGTTTTCGTGAGTTAATCATAAACGGCAGCGATTGTCTCCTGAATTTTTTTTTTATTTTTGAGAGCAGAATTATGCGAGGTCTAGAGTCGAGGTGAGGATTCACCGCCGGCAACAGCTGGTACATAGATCAACCATTGTCATTATCGTAATCATCGTAAGCCATGATAAATCTCGGGATGGATACAAGTCGACCCCCCCAACACCGTCGTCATCTCTCGCGGTCCAGCGATGTGACAATCCATCTTAGTGCCAGTGCACGGGCCCATTTCGTTGACCCACTTCCACAGTGGATGTCCTTCTGACGGCCTTCTTTTCCTCCTTCTGCTGCCACTCCATAGTTAGTCTCGACCGCTGGCCGCTGTCGGAGGGTACTTGAGATAGCCCTCGCGCAAATGAATAGGAATCGAGAAATCGAGGTTTGGTCAAACAGGAGACGAAAATTTAATTATGATGAGGCTAATTGTAGACGAGAAAAATAACCAGAAGCTTTGTGCGAGTTCAAAATCCTGGCTGCAAGTCAACGCGGCCCGTCATTCTCGTGGGTGGATAAAACAGGTACCGCATTGTGGAAAGTCCCATGGATAAACTTGCGTCCCACATAGGAATGTGGAATATTCATCAGCAGCAGAGATAAGTTACGTTCAATGTCCGTCCCCCTTTGACGAATGAGACCACTTTGGGATCAGATTTCCATCCGGACAAAATTTCCCAGACACATTCGTTGTTGTGATCCCCTCCCCCATGTCGGTAACTCACACATCCACGTGCAAGCCCCGCTGTCAATCCACTGCTGGATGAGGGCACTTATATATAAAAAAAACAGAACGTGGTAAAACATTGAACCGTCGTCAAAGTGGTCATTTGGCCCTTCGGGCTCGTGAATTGTAACGAGCTGTCGTGAGACGCAGCAACGTTGAGATTCTGCGCGAGAACTGATCGCAGCTCCGCGTGGGGATTTCACGACGCTCGCCGACCCGCTCGCCGACCCGCTCGCCCGCACGCTCTCGATCGCAACTCAACGACGCTCGCGCTCGTTTTGCGAATCCCCAAAGAGGTTGGATGAAAGCCTGGAGTCGTAAAACTCCGGCGTCGGCAGTAACGATTTCAATTCGCGGCTCGATAAAAGGCCGGGCAAAAAGTCGCGTGTTTTATTTTATTTACACGGCAAAGGCTGCGTGGACACTGATCGTTTCTCAACGCGAGTCGTTGGAGGTAAGGGGGGCGCAGCCGTGCCGATTGTCCGCCGGCAGAAGGGTCTTCGACTATCGATTGAGCTGTAGAGGAAGTTAATCGAAGAGGCCATGCTGGGCCTACTCTTCCACGCTCGGCCAGACGGTCCTTGACAGCACTGGGACCATCCACACTTGACTCCACCGCGCGCGACCTTCCTACATGGTCGCCTACAAATACTTGCGTGTTCTTCCATGCGCTCTTTAATGTTTCTTTGTTTTTCCTTACGCACGCAACTTACCGCCTCCCTTCTGCTCCCAACCCCCCTGATTAATGAGCTCATTTGTACTTTGCACAGTTACAACAGTAATCAATATGATTAACATGATACACTTGTACACACCCGCTCGGTCATTGTAAATTGGCACGGCTCCTTCTTGCGTCGTTAACATGAAAATAAAATAAATAAATAAACAGGCGATTAATTGTCGCGAGTGAGCCCATTCCTCTGCACCGATGCACCAAGTGTCTCAGACGTTCTAGAATGTGTGGCCACTTGCGGCGTTGAAGGGGGGGGGGGGAGCCCTGGGGCCGATTGAGCGACAAAGCCACGGCGTGCAGTTGCCTTGTTTGCTCTTCGCTGAGTCTTCGTTCCGGGCTTTGCTGCTCTTCGGTAGAGAAAAAAACCTCAAAGATGCTTCCTGCGCGCGGCCGCGAAAATGGAACGTCGGACGTCGCAGCCGAACAACCACAATCGACACCACGACGGGGGCACGACCCGGAGGAAACGCGTCGCAGGGGCTGAACGGGGAGGCGAGGAGTGCGTCAATGTTGGGCGGAGTGGGGGGTGGTGCGAGATGTGGTGGCAGCCCTGCGACTAATCGGGGTCTCTCAGTGGCGGAGGTGATGCGTCCAGGTTGGGCGAGGTGATGTGTAGAACGGGAAGGCAGCTTGTGGCGGTGATGGAACAAAAATTGGTAATGATGGTGATGATGGCGGTGATGAAAATGATGGCGATGATGCTGGTTATGATCGTGACGGTGTTGATGATGGCGATGGGGGTAATGATGATAGTGGTGGTGATGATGGCTATGATGGTGATGATAATAATCATGATGATCGTGACGAATATGGTCGTGATGATGATGATGATGCACCGGTGCTGCAATCCCACTCCACCAGTTCCCCTGGCAAGCCGCGTGAGCTGCACGCACGGCAGGCCCTCTAAGATCGCCACATGTCCGCCGGAGGATGGCGTCCGTGATCACTCAATGCGTGGGTAGAATCTACAACTCACTCTTAACGCAGACCCGGATCGACCCCCCACTCGAGGTGGATTTTTGTAGCCTTCCGCACCTGCAGTCGTGAGCCACCACCAGAAGTGGCGTCGTCGCAACATTAACAGCTCAGAGGGCGTGGAAACCGGACGGATGGGGCCCCGAAAACTGTTGAAAACAAATCTCATCGTGGTTGGCAAGAGGGCCCAAACTCGTAGCTTTGGCCGCAAAGGGGGGGGGGGGGGCAAGGCACCCCCACGCTCGTTGCGCTACTGGCCACCAGCATTGCACATGGAACACTCCGCAAGAGGGACGCGCACTTAGGTATCGCCGTCTGAATGACCTGTTTATTGGCTCCCCCGAAGGTTTACGCTTCACCAGGCTATGTGTGCGCGCGCGGGTCTTTTCAGTGTCTGCTCTTGGTACTTGACATACCTGGACAGCCCGTGTAGGCTATACGGGTGATCTTTGTCTTTGAACTTCTATCGCACCGTACGTAGCCAGCCGTGCTCATCGGACCCCCGGGCTGACGAGACGTTCCATCCTCAAGGTGAAATAGTTTACTGAAGAAATGAACCATGCAACTATTTCGCGATATTTTGTAGTTCCATGGCAACAAACTGTGTTCCCACCAGCGAACGTTAGTTCTGCCATACTTATTTGTAACTCTGGAATCGGGCCAATGGTTTAAGATTCGATGGTTAGGGCTTGGAGTTAGGAGTTATGGGATTGAGGTTATGGTTACAGATAAGTGTTCAAGAATTAGGGTTTAGAGTGTTAGGGACAGGGTTGAGGATAAGGTTAAAGGTTAGGGGTAAGGGTTAAGAGCTATGGGTAAGGGGTCAAAGTTAGGGGTTAGGGTTATGAATGAGTGTTAAAGGTGAGGGTTTAGGGTTTAGAGTTAGGCAACTAGTTTCGCGAAAAAGTTCGAAAACATCGTCTTAAAAGTTTAGTTTGTAATCGCAAATGCAATTAAACATTCATTACAACAAATTTACGGGGTAAATATATTCAAAGGGGGAACCAACATTCCCCGCTTCCCAAATACTGGATCCTCGGGGGCACGAACATGAATGGGGGAACACATTTGCAGAGGGAACGGTTCCTCTTGCATCGCCGACGTGAAACCAGCGGCACAGCCAGCAAGTGTGCAGGCCCTGCAACTGCACCGGGACTCCCGGACAAGCCAGAGGAACCCAGAGGGGGGGCGGGAAGAACATTAAGACAGGGAGGGGGCACCCCACCCCCACCGCTCCCCCCCCCATTTAATTCCTTCCACCAGGGTCGATGCCAACCGCGCGTTCAACGACCAAAGTCACGCCGCTGGGCAGAGCGCAGGCCCTCGTCGTTGCATCGTCGCCGATTTATCGAGCGCATCGCTCGCCGACTTTGGAGCGTTCGAGGGATTCCAAGCCAGGCCGCCGCGTGCGGCACGCTGGGAGCGGCTCGTGAGCGCACGCGCGGCCCTCGACAGTTCATCATTGGTCGGTGTTTCGCGGTCGATGTACAGATATTTACACGGGCAGGGCGCGGCTCCCACTCACGTAGGGGACAATTGCTGCTGTGGGTACCACGCGCACAAACAAATTGATAGCTGCGAAGGCATTGAAACGATCGTAATTGTTCGGGGTGTTTTGTTTGTTTGTTTGTTCTCGTGATTCATTTGCCGTTTGGTACGACGCGTGAGTTGTTGTTTGACTGTGGTGAGCATCCTGCTACTTCGCTCTGCGATGGGATGAAGAGTTGAAACGAGAGAAGATATGTCAGGAAGTGGTGCCGTGTACCCAACATTCATTGCGTGGACCTGCAGGTTGAGGAGAGCAGACGTTTTATCCGGAGTGGCAGCGTTTGAGAAACTTTTTGGAAAACATTTTTGGTCAATGAATGAACAGGCTTTGTGACTCATTAGTCTTATCACCGCTGCGATCACCATCATCATCGCACATGTTCACATTCACAGCTGTACCATGACTCTGTGCTCTTTGGCTGAGCTCGGGGCTTTAAATGGAGAGGAACCCCATCTCTTGTTCATTAAAGTAATTTTGACTGCGCTTGGACCATCCCCTTCATCATTACCATCAACACCATTATCATCTCCATCACCATGGCCATAGATTCAACTGTTTCATCATCATTGGTGACATCACCTCCATTACTGTAGACTCTGCCTTTTTCATCAATGTTGTTATCAGCATTATCATCACTGTCATCATCATCGTGATATTGTATCTCCTTCATTATCACCATGAACGCCCTTATCATCATCATCACCATAGCCATAGATTCAACTGTTTCATCGTCATTGGTGACATCACCTCCATTACTGTAGACTCTGTCTTATCCATCGATGTTGTTATCATCGTCATCATCGTGATATTCATCGCGAGTCGTGGCCACAGCACCTCGGCACCACTTGCAGAATTCCGCCCCGCGGGCCCTCGGGAGTGGCCCCCGGGGCCGGCAGAGGACGCGCGCCGCCTCCCGCGCGCAGCGGAGGCCGTCGGCCGACCCACGGCTCTCCCTCGCGGTGGAGACTCTACTCTGTATCCCGGCCGCCGGCTCATCCCGCACGCTCACACGGCGGGCGAGAGGCCGAGCTCCTGGGTCGTCTCGAGCGGCCGCACCACCACCAACAGCAGCGTCGCCAGCAGCAGCGTTAGCAGGAGCCCGCGGGGGTCCGGGCGCGGCGTCGTTCCCGAGCCGCAGCCAGCGGCGCCGCCGCCGCGGCAGCTGCTGCTGCGCTCCTCGCAGAGCGCGCCCGAGTAGCCGGGCGCGCACGCGCAGCGCTGCCGGTCGCGGCACTCGCCGCCGTTCTGGCAGCGCAGCAGCTCCTCGTCGCACGCGTTCTCTAGAGGGAGGGAGGGGAGGGAGACGAGGGAGGGAGACGGGGGAGGAGGGTGACGAGAGAGGGAGATGAGGGGGGGGGAGGGTGACGAGAGAGGGAGGGTGACGAGGGAGGGGAAGGATGGAGACGAGGAAGGAGGGTGACGAGGGAGGGAGATGAGGGGGGGAGGGTCACGAGGGAGGGAGATGAAGGGGGGGAGGGTGACGAGGGAGGGAGGGAGATGAGGTGGGGAGGGTCACGAGGGAGGGAGATGAGGGGGGGGGAGGGTGATGAGGGAGGGAGGGAGATGAGGGGGGGGAGGGTGACGAGGGAGGGAGGGAGATGAGGTGGGGAGGGTCACGAGGGAGGGAGATGAGGTGGGGAGGGTCACGAGGGAGGGAGATGAGGGGGGGGGAGGGTGATGAGGGAGGGAGGGAGATGAGGGGGGGGAGGGTGACGAGGGAGGGAGGGAGATGAGGTGGAGAGGGTCACGAGGGAGGGAGGGAGATGAGGTGGGGAGGGTCACGAGGGAGGGAGATGGGGGGGGGGTGACGAGGGAGGGAGGGAGATGAGGTGGGGAGGGTCACGAGGGAGGGAGATGGGGGGGGGAGGGTGATGAGGGAGGGAGGGAGATGAGGTGGGGAGGGTGACGAGGGATCGAGGGAGATGAGGTGGGGAGGGTCACGAGGGAGGGAGATGAGGTGGGGAGGGTCACGAGGGAGGGAGATGAGGGGGGGGGAGGGTGATGAGGGAGGGAGGGAGATGAGGGGGGGAGGGTCACGAGGGAGGGAGGGAGATGAGGTGGGGAGGGTCATGAGGGAGGGAGATGAGGGGGGGGGAGGGTGACGAGGGAGGGAGGGAGATGAGGGGGGGGGAGGGTGACGAGGGAGGGAGGGAGATGAGGTGAGGAGGGTCACGAGGGAGGGAGATGAGGGGGTGGGGAGGGTGACAAGGGAGGGAGGGAGATGAGGAAGGAGGGTGACGAGAGAGGCAGAGAGGGAGATGAGGGGGGGGGGCGTCACGAGAGAGGGAGATGAGGCAGACGAGGGCGTTATCGTCATCGCGTCATTCAGGATCGTCCAGATCGTCCCATAGAAGTGCATCGTCGTTGGCAAACGAAGCTGCACTGAACACGCATGTTTTTAAGATGTTCACTTTGGTCTTGTCGCAGAAGTAAATAATCATGCAAACAACACGAGTCAAGCCCCACTGCCATTTGCGATTGCGCGTTATTTATTTCACCGCAACTCACGCAATCACGGCCACTGCATTTGTCTAATCCCCTGTGCCTGGGGAGGGGGGCATCTCCAGCTTTTGAAAATCGCAGGCTTAATCCCCTCATATTATTGCATTTAATTACCCCGTAAGCCAGCAAAGGGCTCACGTGGCAAAACCGACTCTGAGGTTCCGCATCTGCTTGGGCCTCCATATTTCCCTAGCGACAACCGCTGCCTATATAGCCCGGGCGTTCTTCATTATATTAACGCAATCACCTGGAAATTAATGAATTGCCAGACTTCACGGAGGGATGTACGCTGCACGACTAATACATCGCTTTAGTTCATCAGGTGACGTGCAGAGATGGGCTGCATAGCGGGGGTTGTCACCTGTGCTGGATCGCCCGGACTAATTGTCCTCTTTTTGATATCAAACAAAGATTAGTTGGCGATGAAGCTGCTGCTGCTGCTGTTGCTTCGTTAGCAGCGGCGCACAGGCACAATTAACAAACAAACTCAACACGTTCGGCAGTAACGTGTGTAATAGGCGACGTTTTGGGCGGTGGCCCTTCTGCATGCCACAACCAGCACATCGGTCTCATCGGTGTCATGAAGAAGGGCGATTGCCCGAAACGTCACCGATTAATACTATTTTTGGGATGTGGCAACCATAACGGAGGCGCAGATTTTTTGTTTTATTGCTGAATTTTTGCGATGAACCTGGCGACCGGTGGTCAATGACTGGTCCACAGCTATCGACAGTGATATCTCAACCGGTCCTGGGTCTCTCCTTTGTCAGCCTGCCACTGATTAGCATGGTGAAGTATGATCACACACCGCCCCCCCACATCCAATGTGATGTGGGGGAGGCCTTTGTGCACTCATTGGCGACCAGGTTGAGACCATGCACTCACCACACTCCAGAGCCCGGTTTGATCACGGCTCAGTGGCTGCAACCCGGATTCAGATATCGAATATGGGATATCATATCCGTGATGCCTGGATTTTTTTCTCCGGGTCCTCCGGTTTTTCCCTCCAAATTGATAAACATGCGTTTAGACTTTTTAGATAGTTTTGCTGCCATACATTTCCACTTGATAAGCCACTTCGTTGAGCTATCATTTGTAAAGAGGTCGTTTATTGAAAAAGAAGCTAATAGCTCAGTGTGCTTTACCTGCTAAAAAACAAAGTTTCGTTTTATTTGTATATTTTGAAATTATTTGTTTACCTTTGCTATACTTTTCACTCCTATCGTGTTTTTTTTATAGCTTCTTGTTGTTGTAACGTTATGACCCCGTGCCCCCTTACTGGACATCTGTGAAAAAAAGAGCTTCATAGCTCATTGGATTCCTCGATTACAAAGCAACATTCTGACGCTTCATTCTTGAAAGCCCGTGGACTCGGGCAAAACGTCGCAACATCACTGCGGAGCTTTGCGCTGCCCACAGATCTGTTGCAAACCGGCGGGCTCGGCAATGAGTGGAGCGGTGCGGTGGTGCGGTGCAGTGATGCCGTGCGGTGGTGCCGTGTGGTGATGCGGTGATGCCGTGCGGTGATGTCGTGCGGTGATGCCCTGCGGTGGTTCCGTACGGTGATGCGGTGGTGCAGTGCAAGTGATGCCGTGCAGTGGTGCTGTGCGGTGGTTCCGTGCGGTGATGCGGTGGTGCGGTGCGGTGCGGTGATGCCCTGCGGTGGTTCCGTACGGTGATGCGGTGGTGCGGTGCAGTGATGCCGTGCGGTGATGCCCTGCGGTGGTTCCGTACGGTGATGCGGTGCGGTGATGCGGTGCGATGGTTCCGTGCGGTGGTGCCGTGCGGTGATGCGGCGGTGCGGTGGTGCCGTGCGGTGCCGTGCGGTGCGGTGCGATGGGGGAGAGACTCACGCTGGCAGCCGCGGTTCCAGTAGTAGCCGGCCAGACACTCGCCGCACTTGAGGCCGCTCGCGCCTTCCTTGCACTCGCACTGCCCCGTGCCGTTGCAGCGATCGCTCGCCGAGCCGAACGGGTTGCACTCGCACGCTGCAACGTGGGAAGGAAGCAGTGATGATGATGATGTTGAACGACTTGTGCCTTGCGCCTTCTCGTCTAGAATCCCTTGCCCGGGAAGGTGCGGGGGCCCGGGTAGGCAAACCAGGCGAGGCAGGTCTAGTGCTGGGGACATTAGAACTTCTCTCGCAACCGTGCATGCGAGGCTGACGTTATTCGCCCGGTTAGCGTAGCAGCGCCCCATCTCACCCTCCTCTCTGATTCATGCCCTCTACTCCAGCGACGAGTCTGCATGCCTGTCACTCCCTTATCAGTGCCCTACCTTATTACGGACAAATTCACACCGCATTGGTCACCCCGTGCCCTTATGAGTCTCAACGTTCATCCCACAAAGTCCCATCACAAAGAAGAAACACAAACAAATAACCATATTGACCTGAAAACTCAATATCCCTCGACAAGAATGCACGGTAACCCGTATGGGTTGGCAGCTGTGAGTCTGTGGCGTTGGCGGCTGTTTCTCCTCTTGCTGGTGCCTCTCATGTCAGGAATTCTAAAATGCTCTCGTCTGTATAGTCAGATTGTCTCACTGGAGCTTAGCACGGCACTTATACGTGTGATTTTCGCGCACTGGGTTTCCTTTAAGGAGTTAAGGAAACAACTCGGCTCACTCCGATCGATTGTTGAGTTTGTGAGCCGGGCTAAGCCGGGATAGGGCAAGGCTTTGGCTCCACAGCGATTCGCTATTTAAACTATGTGGCTCTTTTCCAGAGATTGTAAATATTCATGCTTTCAAATGTGGAGGGAAAAACCGGAGGACCCGGAGAGAGACACGCAAACTCTAAATATGTAGCAGGGGTCAGCAGTGGGGTCGAGATCAATCCCACCACCTCCTTCATACCTGGCGAGGGAGTTCACATCTCGCCAACCGTGAAACCTCTTGCCTTGTCGACGAAGACAAAGATCGCCCGTATAGCCTTAACATACTGTAGGGGCAAGTGCTGTTAGCGAGGGGGTCGGTGGCCAACACCACGCCCGGCCGCCTTCGTCTCCCCAGGTACTCATTTGAGGCTGAGTCGACCTAGGGGAGGGGCCCAGAACCGGTTGTAGATAATCGTCACTGGTATTGGCCGTGAGCGCAGCGCGCTAACCGCTACACCACCGCTCCCCATGCCCGGGTATCAAAATCAACCGGCGCTGCTCCAGACGCCCATGCCACCCGCAAAGGCAAGCGGCCAACGACGCAAATCGGAGAGGGCGATTTTATTCTGCGCTCAGACGCATCATCGCATGCTTAGAACTGAGCATGCCTCGTTATGATTGTTATTACTGCTTGACTTGGAGTGCCGCCGCGTGCCAGTGGGGATCACCGCGTAACAATTCGTTCTTATTTGAAGAGAGGCTTTTGTTTGGGGGATGGAAATCCGGCAGCCCCCCCTCCCTCCCTCTCGACGTGGCTCTGCTGCTTGCTGATCGTTTATTGGGCCGCCACCTGTCCGGTTGAGAACAGGTTACACTGACCTCGCAAAGGCAAAGATCCCCCGTGTAGCCTCCTCAACAGAGTGCCGGGGCGAGTGCTGTGAGCGAGTTGCACCTACGATGCCCGGCACGGCACACGAGCGGGCGTGGCCAGTGCCACGCCCGGCGTCCTTTGTCTCCCCAGTGGCTATGTTTTTTTTACATACCGCACCAGGAACTGATTTGAGGCTGAGTCGACCTAGGGGATGGCCCAGGACCGGTTCAGATAATCGTCAACGGTGTTTAGCCGTGAGCGGGAATCAAACTCGGGTCGCCGGGTTCGTAGCGCAGTGCGCAAACCACTGCGCCACCGCTCCCCCTTACATGTTACAATGACCTGCAGCACCCACACACTCACACACTCGTTATTCCCCGGGGTTCCTGTTAGCCGCAGAGAATCAAAAATGACTTTGGAGCTTAAAACAATACCAAAAACCGCTGACATTGTTAAAAGAGTGTCTGGCTCGAGCGAGAAGGGCGAGGCTAGCTATTGAGGACGAGAACTGACGATTGATGTATTTATCTAGTTGCCTATTTCTGCGATTGAATTCCAATTAAGCAATCTAGCGGCGCTGCGTCAACACGATGAAGAGATATGCCCCCCCCCCCCCCCCATGGGGGACTTCACAGTCGTCAGCGGCGAACTGTCGAGGCTGGCAGCGATGGGCGCTGGGAGATGAAGCCGAGCGACTTGTGAAGTCGCTTCAATGGAACTGTCCGGTCCACACGAGGGGGTGGGGGGGGCTGTGTGGGCAGCGAACTTCGAGCGCCCTTCAAAGGAGCGTTCGCCACCACGCGGCGTCAATCACATCGCGGTTTGAAATCCCGCGACAGCTTGCACCGTTATCCGAAGTCAGAGAGTGGAAAAACAAATGCGTGTAGATGGGTTTCCTTTGTGTGTGTGTCTGTCTGTATGTGTGTCTGTGTGTGTGTGTCTGTGTGTGTGACAACAACGAGTGGAGAGCCGGGTGGCTAAAGCACAGCAAGTTGGCACAGTAGGGGGCACAGGTGGTGCATCAGCCAGTCATCTCGGTCAATCGACCCGTGGCACCTGCTGGGTCTGCCCCGTGACCTCCTGCCAGCGGGCGTTCGACACTTCACGTGGCCTCAAGGTGCACTTGGCCTGGCACAAGCGTCGTGGTGACGTCACAGCCTCTTAGTGGCGAATGGCGGTTGTTGTTGTTGTTGTGTGTGTGATTCCATCAACTCACGATCTGGATAATCCGGTTTAATCACGGGTTGATGAAACCCGGATTTGGACGTTTCGGGTAATGGCCCTTCTTCATCGCACTTAAATAGGATACAAGATTTAAGCCCGATTAAAATTACATAAAAAAATATGTTCGGATGATGACCAGTAGTTATTGAGTAACAGACAAACCCCTGTCACACCAGCTCAGTGTGCCCGACTTCTGACCCACCCAGCCCACCTTGCAAGATGAGCACTGCTGGGAGGGGAACACGGAGCTACAGGAGCATGGGGCGCTGACGGAACGCGTGGTTCTTCCACTGCCTATCTGCAGAGCTGAGATGGAAACCAAACTGTGATATGCTGGCATTCGAAGACATCTAATTACGGCTCGGGGCCAAGCAGGGCCAGGGAGTTGGGCAAATCACAAAGTAATTGCGCACGACGCTAGTGTGGCTGATGCAGATGCAGAGCACGAACTACAATTTAACATTCAGGTGGTCAAAGCCAGATAACTCTGTAAAGGACAAAGCGTCGCCACGTCGACTGCACGCGTTTCAACTCTCTTCGTTGCGTGTAACGTGAGCAGCACGACACGGCTCGGCGTCTGCAGTGGAAAAACACACCGGGTGCCACCAGAGCCACGCCGGGCTGGCTGGGCACGAACCCGGTTGCGCAGGTAGCGGATAAAGAGAGTCCACGAACCCGTGGGGGTGGAGGAAGGGGTTGTGTGGTGTGGTGTGTGTGGGGTTCACTGACCGATGCACACGTTCTCGTCGCTGAGCGGGAGCGACGCGTTGCGGTAGTGCCCCGGGCGGCAGTACTGGCAGCGCTGGCCCCGCGTGTTGTGCTTGCAGCTCACGCACGTCACCGCGCTCAGCAGCTCGATGAAGCTGCAGCGGTTCGAGTGGCCGTAGCACTGGCACTCTGTCGCAGCGCCGTCGGCGGGGGTGCGTGCGGCGGCGTGACGCGCGGGGGGTAAACGGGGAGGACCGGAAGGAAATCGGTTTAGTTTGGTCACGCAAATTCAGCTCGCGCATCTCCGTTGTTGGGTTTTTTTTCCACTGCACAAGCCGAACCGTTCCGCCTACGGCTGAAAGTTGCGCGGCTGTCAAGTGTGTAGACGGTGCAACTGCGCTAGGCGACGCAGATTGTAATTCGCATCACTATCTCAATTCACTGCTAGATTAACCCCCCCCCCCCCTCCTCGGCAGCGTTCGTATTTGTGGGTTGTTTCATCACACGGAATCGGCCTAGTTAGTGGCGCGGTTCATGAAATGTTGCGAGTTGCCCTCGACCGCTTCAAACGCCAATCGCCACTCATGTCAGCCGTGGCCCGGAATCAAACTCGCGTCGCCGGGTTCCTAGCGGAGTGCGCTAACCACTCACTGCAACCTGAACTCTCTCATCTATGCCAGCTGACCTCTGTGACCTGACCTATAGCATCCTCATGAGCCGTGATCTGCCCAAACGCCGGACATCTTCTGGATTACAAACCCACACCGCTGGTGTCACCACCACCACCTCAATTAGCCTCACACTCTGACATGGTGCATTCCGTAACGTGAACACAACGAGCATGGCACATTCCCCGTAATGAACAGGTGTTGGCCATCGGGCAATTAATGTCTCACACCCAATTAATCGCGGACACTGTAACGTTGTTTGAAGGGGCGCGGTCACGTTCCTTGCAAGCAGACGGAGCCGCTCCTTAATCACGGGAAATCGTGACGGCAGCAACCCCGCGGGAACGTCTCCCGCGCCTCCGCGCGGCTTAACGCGAATTTGAACGAAGCGTAATTAATTACCCCGTCAATTAGCTCTAATGGCCACGGCCGACGTGTGGAATTATCCCGAGCCGTGCGGAAGATCCGAGAGGAAGGGGCTAGGGGGAGGGGGGCGCGATGCGCTATCGGGTTGGATCGGGGCGGGGGGGGGGCCGTGCCGATCCGGCCAGGCGCGGCTCCGATGGCGCCAAGTTTGTTTTTCCACTGCGGGAACGGAGCCGTGCCGCGCCGCTTAGGTGACATGCACGTCGAACATTAAGTATTTTATTGATATGTAGCCGAGATAAATTACGTTGATTATATTTAAATAGTATTCATGGTGAGCCCTGTTTAAAAAGCTTGACATTTCTGGACCATCCCCCCCCCCCTTCACCCCCAACCAGCCACTCGTACTAGCCCTACCCCTAACTCTAACAAACTAAACCTGACCCTCGCCTCACTGACCTCACCATCGTCAATCGCCTGTGCCTCTGTCCGCGTCGGAGCGGTGGTGCAGCGGTTAGCGCGCTGTGCTGCCAACCCGGCCACCCGAGTTCGATTCGCGCTCACGGCCAACACCGCTGACGATGAGCGATACTGAATGGCCTTTGTTTTCAGGTTGACCTCGTGTAGTGTGCAGGGAGACAAAGGCGACCGGGCGTGGTGCTGGCCACCCATCCACCCTCGTGTGCCAAGCCGGACCTCATAGGTGCAAGGGGCCGTCCATAAATGACGTCACGCGATTTTAGACGATTTTTTACCCCCCCCCCCTCGTCACATGGCGTCACAAAAAGTCAGATCCCTTCTCAAATATGACGTCACAAAGCTCTGCCCCCCCCCCCAAATAAAACATCCTTCAAATCGCTTTAAACTAGTCATTGTAGTGCGTATTTAATGTGCCGCTACACTCTGATGTTGTAGGAGAAAACAGTTATTAAGTAGAACGTGTTGCCTATATTTATTTAAAGTTGCGCATTTGATGTGACGTCACATTTCTCACCCCCCCCCGCCCTCGTCACACATCGTCACAAATGTCTGACCCCCCCCCCAATGTGCGTGACGTCATTTATGGACGGCCCCCAATCGCTCCCGGCACCTGCCCCTACAGTCTGTTAACAGGCTACAGGCGGGGGAGCTTGTGTCTCCGTGTGTGTGCGTCGTGGTGACGTCACCGCCACTTAGTGGCGAATGGCGGTTGTTGTTGTTGTGGGGACGGCGCGAATTACCTGGGTTGTCATCGTACATCTCCTCCGCCAGGATGCTGGGTGGCCGTGGGGTGTCCGCCTTTGGGGCAGCTAAATAACAACAATAACAACAACAAACAGCCATGACGCAATACCATTGATAACAACAACAACAATCGACACCACCAACGGTGACGATATTAACAACAAGAGCGGTTGGCTACGTACGGTGCGAAAGAGGTTCAGGATACATACCAGAAGAAGCGAAAATAGCGACACATGACGTCATCAAATAACAATGGCAACCAAAAAAAAACACAACAACAAACAACTTAAACACTGATCAACAACAACAATACCAACAGCCATCAAACAGCTGCCCGATCTCTATTTTACAAGGTATTTTTTCCTCTTTAATTTGTTGTACGTACGTGTGTTGAACTTCTTTCACACCGTACGTAGCCATCCGTGATAATCGGCGGTGCGGGAAATGTCATGTCCTGCTATACTGCCTAATTACTGCCTAATTACATTCGGCACTGATTGTTGAGAATTGTTTATGTGCCATTTTCAATGCACAAGTGTGATCTGTGTCATCTTCAATGCACAAGTGTGATCTGTTTCATCTCGCTCCCGGGATTCTATCCCGACGGCGCCACCATCGGCGAGGTCAGCTCGCGAGATGAAGAATCAGTTCAAGAATCAGTTCAGGAATCTCGCACAACAGTGCAATCCTCCGTGTTAGAGGGAAAGGGCCGCAGAAGGGAACACCACAGAACTACCTCCGAGGTCCCTTTACCATTACGAAAAAAGTCTGCGCGCGTGTGTGTGTATATCGAGACAACAACGCAAGGGCCGCGTGTGTGTGTGTTGGGGTGGCTACCTTCCCCCTCCTCTCCACCTCCCTCCCGCAGCCCTGGCGGTGTAATCTGGGTTACGGTAGAGTCCACTCATCTCTGTTAGGCCGTCACTTTCAATCGGCCCTCCATTCATTTCACACTTGGCCTCACAAAACACTCGGCTCTTGCTCGCCCGCTCGCACGCGCGCGTCTTACGCGGGTCGGACGCTGCCTCGCTCGCTCGCTCGCTCACCCGCCCACACCAACTCGCCTCACCGCCCCGAGCACGCAAAGACAAAGGTGACCCCCCCCCCCCCCCCCCATAGAGCCAGCGTTGTTGGCGAGCACCTATGGAGGCCGAAACGGTGCACGTGATGGAGAGCGTGGCCAGAGCCGAGCCTGGCCAGTGTCTGTCTGCCCAACCGCCGTTGTTTACACATCACGTTAGGTCCTCAATTGAGGCTGAGTGGACTTTGGAGAGGCCTGGGACCGGTTCATATAATCGTCACTGGTGTTAGCCGCGGGCGGGAATCGAACTCGGGTCGCCGTGTTCGTAGCGCAGCGCCAGCGAGGCGCGCGTAAGCACACGGACGTGCACACGCACACAGACACGCACACAGATACGCGCACGCACACAGACACAGGCACGCACACAGATACGCACACAGACACGCGCACACACACAGACACGCACACAGACACGCGCACAGACACGCACACCGGTGGTGTCCGCACGCAACCGTGAAACACTCCACGAAGTCTCCCAGCCACCTCGAGCCCCGTCCCATGGAGAGACAAGAGGCGCGCTCTCTGCTCACAATTAGCGACTCGTTGCCCGTGACCGACAGCTTCCGAAACGTCGCCCGGAAAATCGCGACGCCGGTGGCCGGCAGTCCCGGCAGGCCGATCGAGACCGAGGCCCGAGAGAAGGACACTTCACTCGGCAGCGTCCCGTCCCTCGCCGCGTTGCAAACAATTTACGGGACGGTTTTGTCATGGGTAGAATACGGCGTAACCCCCCCCCCCCCGCAATATTTACAGGAACCGACTGCATCTTTATACACTAAACGAGGTCCACGAGATCTTCCTGCAGGGGTGATCGGTGTTTTTTTTCCAGTGCCGCTCTTAAGCTTTGCACCGCTTCGCCTTCATAAGTAGGACAATCATAGTTGTTAGCTATGTTGAAATCTGTCTTGAAAACTCACTTCTGTAAATTGGCCTTCACTCCCGAGTGCTGGCCATTTACCCCACAGGTTGTGTTTATTTCCTGATTTACATACACGGCACAATGGTATCTACGCATGATAATGTGCCTTATGAATGGGTAACTATTATTATTATTACTACGGTGCGAAGTGCGGGGATTACAGAGGGCCCACGAATATCATTGACCTGTGACCCCCCTCTCACTCTCATTAGCCTGACCCGGGTCGTGCTTTGCTAAGACAGTTTTACTCTTCTCGGCTCCCTTCCTCTCATAACCCCCCCCCCCCACCAATACACCCCCCCCCACCATTACACCCCCCCCCCCTACCATTGCACCCCCCCCACCATTACCCCCCCCCTCCCCCACGGGGTCAGGACACAGCTCGAATGAAAGCGCCCGATCTCAGGGGCGGCCTGACATTGAGCGCGCCGTCGATAAGCGCGACGCGGTTTGACAGCGCGACCACCCCCCCCCCTCTCCACCCGAAGAGAGAAAACATTGCACTCATTAAAAAATATAATTAAGCAATGAATTAATTAGGATTGACATTTTTGTACGAGTGCAGACAACGCTTGGTTATTCGTGTGATGTTCATTGCACAGCGGCGGTCGGGATGAAAATAAAATAAACAAACACATCCACACGCGGTTCAATTAGCTCTCCGCCACGTTTTCGGGGTTGTACCGCCATGTACAACGTTTCGAACCACGTGCCGGGAGCTTCTTCAAGAAGTGAGCACTCAATTCACGCGCTGTACAATTCACATCTAAACAGCAATCTAGCACAACCGCTGAAAAAAAACACAGTGTTATCGCGAATTAAGCTGGGCAATATATTTTTCACTGAAATTAACGGATTACAGAAAATCTGGACCGGAAGCTGATGGCGAGCAATCCGTGCGCTAATCTCCGTGTTCACGTTTTGTTGACGCAATATGGGGGGGGGGGGGGGGGGCGGGAGGATGATTGCTCATGCGTCATACCAAATTAATAAATTAATCCGTGATTCGTTTATCAAATGTTGGCCGTGACATAATCCCACAATGGCCTACTCGTGTGAACGACCTCCCCGGGATAACGCACGTTTGCTGTGACGCGGACAGCACGCGGTATACCATGGCACAACCGCCACGCTATTGCACCGGGGCGGCCGCTCGATTCGAACCGAGAACCGCCGCCGCCGGCAGGAAGCGGCGGCCGCGCCACCACTGGGAGGCGCCCTCGCGCTATCCGCTCGCCCACCAGCGACAAGGCTGTGACGCCTGTGTGTATTTGCTACTAATAATACAAGTATATTGTTGCATTATTTTAATGAGAAGAATAACATAACTGCGCAGGATCTCTGTCTACTTGTTTTATCGCTCGACTTCTTCGGCATGTTTTTTTTAAATGTTTTTTTTCATGATTTCAGTTAATGTATTCGCTAATTGTTCATTCCCGCCCTTCGCACACTCTCAATGCGCTATCCCAGCGTTCTTCACTCATTCTCAGAGGGGGGGGGGGGGGGTGAGGGGGGGACTGTCGCCAATAAGACATCATCAGTGTGAGGGCCGCCACACATTTGAAACCATTGGGGGTTTGACAACTGCACGATAATGATTGGGGGTGTTTTCTCCATTTGGAATCAGTTCAGGAATCTCGCACAACAGCGCAATCCTCCGTGTTAGAAGAGGGAACGGGCCGCAGAAGGGAACACCACAGAACTACCTCCGAGGTCCCTCTTTACCATTACGACGGGGGGGGGGGGGGGGGTGAGGGGGGTGCACGCCTCAGGGGCCACCGGGGGCCCCCAGTGACCTATGGGGGCCTTGCGATGAACACCAGAGGTTAGTTCTAGATCTGAAGCTTTCGTAACTGCAGGAGTTCATACTTTCTAAGTTATTTACACCATTGGAACCTCCTTTGCCAGTAGCAAAATATGATAATTGTTTTGTTACCCTTTTATCTGGCAACAAAACTGAGTCATGTTTACATTGACCACAATACCTGCGGTCGGAACGCGGTCGGAACGCAGGTATTGTGGTCAATGCAAATATGACTCCTTTTAAAAAAGGTTTCAGTTTTGTTGTCAGATAAGTGGGTAAAAAAACAATTATCTCGAAGTTCTTTCGGTAAAGTCACGTGGATAAAAAAAAACACAATAAAAGAACACGACGTTTCGGTCGCAACACAAGCGTCCGTCATCAGGTTATTTTTTTTATCGACGTGACTTTACCGAAAGAACCAGAGAGTAACACGGGTTAGAATACATCCCCCTGCCGGCACACCAGGTGACGCGCCACGCCTCTCTCTCTCTCTCCCAGCCCGTACCTGGCGGGGGTTTTGGCTTGGGGGCTGGAGCGGGTGGTGCAGGTTGCGCCGCGGCCGGAGGTGGCGGCGGTGGCGGCGCAGGTGCCGGATCCGGCTGGATCGCCGACACGCGGTCGGCCTTGGGGGCCACTACGAGCCGCCGACGGGAGGCGGGGGGAGGTGGGGTGCGGGAGAGAGAGAGACACAGAGAGAGGGGTGCGGGAGAGAGAGACAGAGAAAGCGTGCGGTGACAACAGTGCCCGAACCACGACGGGCGAGGCCGCGGCTCAACAGGCGGCCGAGTGCGCCGAGCGCGAGATCGACAAAGTCCCGCCGGCCCCAAACCTCGAGAGCTTCAGCTCAAAATTGACTTCCGCCCTTGCGTGTATGTCTGTTGAACTGTTTTCGCACCGTACGTAGCCAAGCGTGCTACTCGGAGGTGCGGAGGAAGGATAACAAACTGAACACAAAATGCAGTTCTAAAGAATTTAGTTTTCCATCTACATTTAACAGTGCCCAGCTCCCAATGGCTTCCTAATATCGGAAGGGAGAACGTTCCAGACGGCCGCAGAAGCGCATCTGAAAGCGCGCGATGCGGTGACCACCGACTTTATTTGATTGCGAGCCAAAATCCGCTACGATGAGTCCTTCTCCCGCACCGACAACTATCACGATGGGCTACACACGGTGCGAAAGGAGTTCAACATGCATACATACTTCAAGAAACCGCCACCGCAGTTGTGATGGCTTCCCTAAAATTTGTCAAATTTTATCTGATTCGGTGTTTGTTATTATAGCAGTCATTGGTGTCCTGTTTGACATAATCAATTCGCGAGGCTTGAGAACAATGATTTGCTTCATTAGAGGCGGTTAAAACTCACATTTGAACTCGGGGTCTCAGCAAAGTCAGCTAAATGCAGATATTATTATGAAGCCAAATTGTTACGCAATTCTACAAACGCTGTCTCTCTTACAGAATCTAGGATGGTAAGACCGCAAAACCCAATATCCAGGCCATGTCGTGAAGTGCACCTCGATATTTATTTCCAAGATCTCTGCGAGTCGCTGGTGGCCAATCTACCGATCCTGGAATTCTACAACAAAAAAAATAACAAACAACATCGATACGAAAACAAACCACGAAGACGGCGATTAGCCCAGGGCTGGGTCTCAATGCACAGGCCACTCAGCTTCGGGCCCAGAATTATTGTAACCCGTCAATCTCCCCCCGCCGCGAGCAATCCGCAGATCTACCACCCCTGTGACCACGTGCAATTGCATTCGACTTGTGCATCCTCGTCTCTTTACATATCAGTGTAATAGCAACCCCCCCCCTCCTCTCTCTATTTAATGTTTATGGAACTGGATTGTAGAATCGTACTCTGCTTAGTCTACGAAATAATCTGCCCAGGTCGACACACGCAACATGAATTGCGTTAAATTTCGATTTAAAGCTTTCATGACTGCAGGGATTCATATTCTTGGTTCTTTCGGTAAAGTCACGTAGAAGGGAAATAATAAAATAATATACAAAGAACATTTTTCAATTTTTTTCAAATTTTCTTTATATTATTTTATTTTCAAATTTTCTTTCTGTGGATTTCACACCTGATGGTGATTGCTTGTGTTGCAGTCGAAATGTCGTGATAATTTTTATTGTTTTATATTTATATTATTTTATTATTTCCCTTCTACGTGACTTTACCGAAAGAACCAAGAATATGAATTGCGTTATTTAACGTTGAATTATATTCGTGCACTATTTTCGATTTCTCGTGATTGCACGGTTGCTTCTGTTCTGACTTATCTTTGCTTCATCCGCTGTACGTCTCTATTTGTTTTTGGCAATTTAATTTTGTGACCCACACATCACGTGCAGGTTCATGTATCGCTTCCATATTCCGAGGACAAGGACCAGTACGATCACTGCTGATGTGCCCCCTGGGAGTGAAGCCTTGACATACGATGCTCTTTTTTAGGGAGCATGCCCATCGATCGGGCCGAGTTAATCTTGACCAAAATTAGAGTCCGCGACCTTGTGTTCATAAGTTTAGAGCGAGACCAGCCTTGTTATTTTTGGCATTTTATTTTAACCTTAATTGATGCTTGTCCTGTCCCCCAATGTTATTCCGATCGCGAAATCTGCGTCGCGTCACGAGGCGAAGAGTCGATTCGGATCTCTCGCAGCGCAGTGCGTCTCTTCACGTTCGCGAACAGCCCACGGAAGTGGACATCACTGAGCTACAACAGAGATTCCTTCGAGTAGCGCCTGGTTCACGGAGCAGTGGGCAGCACTTCCCATTCGTTGTGCATATGAGAGTAGGTTTCTTTGCGTGACAGTAAATCTGACATTTTTAATTCTTAGAGCAGTAATTTAGCCAAATTAACTGCAGAACAAATGTTAATGTGATGCGTGACCGGGGCTGATGCCATCAACCCTACACACCGGAGCACCCGGTTTAATCACAGACGGCTGCTTGGATTCGAACCAAGTGTCTCAGTGGTGCCAGCTCAGCTAACTTTATGACCTCGAAGCTACCCGGTCACCACTTTTAATTATAATTGAAGAACTCTATACGACAACACAGATAAAAGCAGACGCAATCACAATTATCCAACGAAAGGTGGCGCTTCCGTTGAATCTTGATGCGCCGCGCACATGTCTACGATGCCACACTACACCCGCCAGCCCTACAGGACAGCATTAACGTTGAATAGATTTCAAACTCCCCCCTCCCCCTCTCCGATAAAAGATGTGGTTTGCTCCAAACTCTGAGAGCTTCAAGAATAAACGGTGGCACAGGTGTGGAGCAAACTATCTCCCTCACACGGGGTGGGGGGGGGGTGCCACTATCATTCATAGTCCATGAAGCTGGCAGGTTCTAGACGTGAGCAAGAGAGCAATTCACATTTTGGCAAATGTTCATTTGCCAAAATGAACATTTTGGCAAATGTTCATTTGCGTATTTTCTTTGGACAAAATCGTTCCGATATCTCCATCATCATCACAGTCATCACCGTCATCAGCACCGCCGATGCGGTGATGATATTCGGGTTGCCACCTGTGCTGAGATTTTTTTTTCTCTACCCAGAATAATTTTCTCTTCCACAGGTAATGCACATTTGAGAGGGTAGCTGCCGTCCAGGGAGAATCTGTCTCTCTCGGAATATTAAGAACAGTCCCGGTTTAAAAAGAAAAAAAAACTCGGCACATTGTCTGTGTGCTATCCAGAAGAGCCATTGTCCCAAAACAACACAGATTCTATATTATTTATTTACTCGAAGGTCACAGTGTTTTTGACGAGCGTGCTGAGTGGTCTGGTTAATTGCGCTTCACTGCCAGTGCAGCAGCAGTACACACGTTTTTTTGTCAGTTGTGTCATAATAACAACAACAACACTGCAACGCCACTCAGGACAATCCCACCATATCCCACCATATTGCGAGTTATTATTCTATTTCTCCCCCCCCCCCCATGTTACGTGGATCTCAGAGGTGGCAACCTGATGTGTGGTGCGATGCGATTCGGCCGTTTCGCCACGACTGTGGGCAACGTGGCCGAGGAGCGAGTCAATCTCCGTGGCTCTGTGCCCGTGGGGTACCTGGCGTGGTTTTTGGCGGGGGCTTTGAAGTGTTTTTAGCGACGACTTTGGTGACCTCTGCTGCCGAAGCTTTGACCGGCTTCGGCACAGCTGGGAGTTAGCAGCAGCAGCAGCAGCGTTGGCGACACAGTAACACATTTATGCAATCGTTGCGTTAAGCATGCTCACCACAAGTACGTGTGGTTAATGCAGACTTGATTCCTTGCAAGAAGGTATCTATTTGGTGTTTGAACATCTAAACATCTCCCGTTGTATTGCCAGAAAGGGTAAAACCTATTTTTATTTTGCATACTTTGATTCTCGCAAAAAAAGGTCCCATTAAAATTATCATGTTTCAAATAAGCAGACCTCCACGTACACATTTATTTCATTTTGTCCTTGGACCTATTGGCTTTCCAGATAAATATAATTGAGCCAGCATTTGTTAGAAATTATTATGAAGACACCATTCATACTGTTATATTAAAAAAAGAGTGCTCCTATGTTGAATACGTCACGGCTACAAAGGGACTATGGCCTGTGGTCAAGACTAGCGACGGAGTGGCATTCAAAGGAGACAAAAACGGCCGAGAGGACGTCCATTGCAGGCTCGGAGCAATGAAATCAGCTCACGTGCAGCAGCTCCGTGAATTTCCGCAAAATTAAACGAACCTTTTATTCAGCCCATTGGCCTCTTGGCTTTCCAGACCAACATTATCCTGCCAGCATTTGTGTCCGTCTAGAATGTTAGGGCAGTGCTATTGACGCGAAACGAGTTGAGTCGTTGTTGTTGTTGTTATTGGCTGTGATTGTGCACCACACCTAAACACAACAGTTGTAGCAGCAGTGGCAGCATCACAGAATATTTTTTGTTCACACATCCATTAAGAAATGCATCTAACATGAAACGGGCATCAATAGCAATGAAAAATGCGAATTATTACAGTCATTCTCTCAGATATTATTGCAATTAAGATCTCAAATATGAATCTCAAGCGTGGTCTGTGGCGAATGACGGGCGGTCACATGACCATCGCGCTCGTCACAATGGCAGCCGTCGTCAGTGAGCTCAGACCACGTGAGCGCGCCGTCATGTCGACGTCGTCTATCTGCGGTGTCGGAAATGTGAAAGTCATGAATCGAACGTCTTACGTGCCCCCCCCCCGCCGCTACCCCCCCGTGTTCCGTCGGAGCGTACTCACTCGCGGGGCTGGACACGGAAGCGGTGCCTGCAGAGAAAGCGACACGGGCGGAGAGAGGCGGGAGGGGAGCAGATGGGGGCATGAGTTTGAATGTTTACATGGTGGCATGGACGCCGCACAGGGACATCTGTTTGTGAGTGAGCGGTGTGATGTGTTAACCACCGGCAGACACCCGAGTTGGATTCCCGCTCACGAAAAACAACAGTGGCAAATATTTTAGCAGATTCCGGGCCTCCCATAGGTTAACCCAGCCTCAAATTAGTGCCTGATGCGGTGCGTAAGGGGCCGTCCATAAATGACGTCACGCAATTTTGGACGATTTTTAACCCCCCCCTCCTCGTCACACGGCGTCACAAAAAGTCAGACCCCCCCCCTAAAAAATGACGTCACAAACCTCCGCCCCCACCCCCCCCCCCCCAAAACCATATTTTTATTTAGAAAATAAAACATGCTTCAAATCGCTTTAAACTATTGTCATTGTAGTGCGTATTTAATGTGGCGCTGCACTCTGATGTTTTATATATATAAGCAGTGTACCCACGTGTGTGCGTGTGTGTTTGCACCGGCGTGTCCCGCGCAGCCTCAACAATCCGTCGAGGCTGCTGTGGGCAGCGCGCGCGGCGCGCCGTGCGGGCACCCACACGGGTTGGCGGTGCCCGACGGGTAGGGCAGGTAGGAGCCCGGCCTCCACGCGCCGCCGCGGAATCCCTTCTTGCAGCGGCTGCAGTCGGTGCCCATGGTGTTGTGCTCGCAGTCGCACGCGAGGCGCCCGTCGTTGAAGAGGCACGTGTTGGCGTGCAGGTTGCACTTGCACCTGCGCGCAAACGACAAAGAAGATCCCCCACGCACCCACGTGGTAGCCTTCGACAGAGCGTTGGGGCAAGCGCTGCTAGCGAGCAGCGCCTATGAAGGCCGGCACGGCACACGAGATGGGCAACACCGCCCCCGGCTGCCTTTTTCTTCCCAATGGCGATATTTGCACACCACACCATGTACTCAATTGAGGCTGAGTCGACCTAGGGGAGGTCCAAGAACATTTCAGATAATCATCACCGATGTTGGCCGCGAGCGGGAATCATACTCGGGTCGCGGGGTTCGTAGCGCAGCGCGCTAACCGCTACCCAACCGCTCGCACTGCGGGCACAGACACACACAGACACACACAGACAAACACACAGACACACACAGACACACATAGACACTCAGACACACACAGACACACACGGACACACACACAGACACACACAGACACACACAGACACTCAGACACACACAGACACACAGACACACACACAGACACTCAGACACACACAGATACACACAGACACACACAGACACAGACACACACACAGACACACCAGGTCCCCTGGGGAGCCTCCTCGCTACCCCCCTCAAAGGTCCTCCGTTCATGGGCCTTCTTTAAAATGTGACGGGAAGTATCAATTACCAATCAGCAAATGTCAATCACGATTCGTATAACGACAGCGGTCGCGAGAAGCCAACGCGTGGAATTTAGTACAACGATGAAAGAAAGTGTTGCCTCGACGAATATTCACAGGCACCCTTCTCCCATGATGCCCCGCGGTTGAAACAAAGAATGGAGTGGCAGCCAAAGGTGAACCCGCAAGGCCGGCGATCCGCCCGCAGAGTTTACCACTTCGGTCCGAATTGGCTCAACCTTCCAATGCCTTCCCATCGTCTCCTTTCCCATCGTCGCCGGGAGAATTCATTATCGAGTTGAATATCGCATGGGACTCCTCGCCCCCCCCCCCCCTCGACCTCTTCCCCCACTGTGGACTGGTAGACAGACCCCTTGCAGTTGAGCGAGGTGGGAGGGAAGGAAGTGAAGGAGGTGGGGGAGGCTGGGGGGGGGTTGCCAAGACGCGAGTTATTCTCAGCCTCCCTCCGCGTCGAGGTTTTGTCAGTCACTGTTGCTAATTAGCTGCTGGCTTCCGCCGGCGCTCACGTTTGCTCTGCTCATCCTGGGCTCGATCAGGGGCAGCGAGTAGACGGCACCGACTTCTGGGGAAGGGGGATGCCAGAGGAGAGCGAGCGACCTCCCGCTGAGCCACGCGGGGGGGGGGGGGGGGCTTCGATAGGAAGCCGTGGTCGATGGAGCATCGTAAAGTGAGGAGGTTTCATGAATAAATGAAAATAAATGAAAATAAATCAATTAAATCACGACGTTTCGGAGGCAACACTGAGACTTGTGTTGCCTCCGAAACGTCGTGATTTAATTGATTTATTTTCATTTATTATTATTTTATTTCTATAAAAAAATACCTACGTGACTTTACCGAAAAAAACTAAGAGTATGAATCCTTGCAGTCACGAAAGCTTCAAATCTAGAATTGGTTTCATGAGTACGTAAATAGAGGAGACCCCCGTGCAATCGATTTGGTTGAATAGAAGTGGCGATGCGGCATCTCTGTGGCTGGTTTCCGTCAACGCAGAGCGAGGCATTCAACACGCCCGGCAGCGCGAATCTCAAGATTTCTCGACGGACCCGGTAAAAGATGGGCCTTGCGTTAACGAGGCAACGGCAGTGCCCGGAGAAAAGTCACCAAGCACACAAGGGGAACGCACTCAAGGCTCGTGAGCCACACTCGCTGTCTTGCCATCGCCTGGCCACCACCTCACAGCAACAGCGAGCTTCAGCGTCCCACAAGTCTCGATGCTATCCATCAACCCTTGCCTTCAGAAGCTCCGTCCCCATGTGGGCATTTCACACGCATTGCAGCGGCAGCGCGCATGTGGCGATTCTACGGCCCTCCACAAAACCAGAAGTGAATGGAAGATGATCCACGGTTGTTTTCGCGTTTGTCGTGGCTTTTAAACCAAAAGTATTGTCGTTAACCCCTCCACCACGTGACAAGATGACCACTTTTATTCACTTGTCATTAATACGCGCCAACGTATTGATCGATTCATTGGCACGTATCGATAATAATGAAAAACAACGCCCGTGTAATCGTGACAACCTCGTCGGGTGGTGGAGGGTTATTGACGAGAATGTGGCCTATAAAACTACCACCGGAGTGGCCGGACTCAAAACAAACAAATAAACACACGCGGACCCATTGCATCGACTACGAAACATCTACGATTCACCTACAAAGCACCAACGTTTTCAGTTCAAGAAATAAACCGATGCGCGCTGCAGTTCAGAACGCTAACACAAACAAAATCCGCAACAACCAAAACGCAAAGCAACTTTTTGAAACGTTCAACCACCCGTGATGGGGACTTCATGCCGACTCGCGTGCACCTTCCTGGGTCTCAGGGTCACGCAGTCATTTACCCATCCTGCCGCTAAGAGACGCCCGGTTGATCGCTTCGCGTGCAGCAGCAGCAGCGGCAGCAGAAGCGGTGGCAGCAACGAAGCCACTTCACATTCAATATCCATCAAGAGAGCCATCGCACACCCCCGTTTGGGAATCGCGGGTGCAGTCTCTGGTGACTCGAAAAAAAGTTTTACGTTCGGAGGCCGGGGGGGTCGGTGCCACCACGCGAGTAGAAGGGGCCGCCTTTGTCACAAACACTGCCACACAACACGCACAACACACACGCAACATGCACAATACAAATACAGCACACACAACACACACAACACACCGACAATACACACAACACACACACCAACAATATACACAACACACACACACACACAATTCACACACAAAACACACACAACACACACAACACGCACAACACACACGCACAACCCAAACGCAACATGCACAATAGAAATACAGCACACACAACACACACAACACACCGACAATACACACAACACACACAACACACCGACAATACACACAACACACACACCAACAACAATATACACAACACGCACACACACACAATTCACACACAAAACACACACACAACAACAACAATGTACACAACACGCACACACATATCACACACACAACACACACACAACAACAACACACACAACAACAATATACACAACACGCACACGCACGACGCAACAACACTAAGTGGCGGTGACGTCACCACGGCGCTGGTGCCAGGTCAGGTGCACTCCGAGGCCACGTGAAGTGTCGAAGGCTCGCTGACAGCAGGTCACGGGACAGCCCCCAGGTGTCCTGGGTCGACTGACTCAGATGACTGGCCGATGCACCACCTGTGCCCCCCGCTGTGCCAACTCGCTGAATTTTATCCGTCCGGCGCTCCGCTCGTTGTTGTGAGCGTCCCTCCTCCGCCCCCAGTTGTTGTTGTTGTCGGGGGCGATTGCCTCCAACGAGCACAACACAAACGCCGCATTCGCCACTCGCGCGGGCTATTCTTTGCGAGAGAAGCAATGCTACGGCCATTATCGCTCACATCTCTCGCCCCGTCCCACACTCATTTGTCTCTGGGGCTAATCCCATTACAGATGTTTGCCTACATCAGCCGCTGATCCATTACGGTCCTGGCCGGCAACCCTCCGTGGAAATCTCGGAGTCTCCCTGGAGCCGGCCTTTGGCTCGAAGGCCGGGGCACGTCACCCCGTGCTGTAATTGTTGTTTGAGCCGCCCGCTGAATATCAACTTTTTGGACCATTTAGTCGGCTGCCTTTTCCCGAGAACCCGAGGGTGATGCGGCTACTACTGGCATCGTCCCCCCCCACCCCAATCTCCCAACCCTCCCCCCACTTTAGCCCCCCCATCACCCCCACTGCCCGACCCGACTCCCCCCAAGCGACAACTTTGAAGGTTGATTCTTAGTTGCGATGTTTTTGTCTGATGAGCACACTTCGGTTTTTTTGCTGCTGCTTGTAACGACACCAACAACAATAACAATGATGATGAGTATTTTTATTTACTTAAAGACGTAAGTGGCCGTGACTGAGGAGTGGAGCCAAGTTCAGTGGTCGCTCGAAAGCCGGGCGAAGGAGGTGGGGCCTTGAAGTGAGTCTTAGAAGTCAGCGACTTTTAGAAGTCATATTCTTGGTTCTTTCGGTCAAGTCACGTAGATTGAAAATAAAAAAAAATTTAGTAAAAAAAATAAATAAAAAAATAACAAAAGCAACACAAGCGGTCGAAACGTCGTGTTTTTTTGCTTTGATTATTTTTTAATGTATTTTAAATAAAATTTCATTTTTATTTTCTATCTGCGTGACTTTACCGAAAGAACCAAGAATATGAATTCCTGCAGTCACGAAAGTTTTAAGTCAAAATCTTAGAAGTCAGCGAATCTGAGAAGTCAGCGACTTTTACAAGTCAGCGACTTTTAGAAGTCAGAGTGACCGCTGCTGGATACGACGATGGCCGCGTTCCAGACGTCGGAGGCTGCCGCCGAGAAACGACGCCCGGCCGTGACCGCGGTGCCGCTGCCTCGGCGTAGAGACGAGGAGGAGGAGGTTGGGGGAGGTTGTGAGCAGCGTCACTGCGTGGAGTTCTACCGTGAGCTGCAGTGGAGGGTGACGTCGCTAAGTCGCAGTGACCGTAGGGTCATTTTAAGTAAAACCGTGACCAGCGGGCACAAGTGAGCGGGCGCGCTAAGCCAGCCGACATTACCTAGGGCTGTTCCCAACGGCGTCGACTGTCACCTTACTCGACCTCGACCATCAGAACGAGCCTGGCCATCCACTCTAAACTAAAATACACTTTTTTATATTTTACCAGGTAGGGGCTGTATGGCTCGCTATCAGACGCAACCTGTCTACATGTGATAACTCAACGAAGTGGCTTATCACGTAGAAATGTCATCTGAAAAGGAAATGATGTGGATCGTACACGTGTAAGTGCTCAACAACACAGTTAACTATTATTATTTAAGTCTGTTCTCTCCTGGGTGATCCATAAAATATGTCTGTAACCGGCACACCACATCGAGTGATACCGTTATGTTTACTACAATCATTAGTTCACCAGGTAAGACCTACTGAGCTACGTAGCTTATTTTCAGAAGCGACCTGGCCACAAATGATAGCCCAACGAAGTGGCTTATCACGCGGCAATGTATAGCAGCCAAATACTCTAAACACACGTTCATTCTAAATGTGGAGGGATCAACAGGAGGACCCGGAGAAAATTCTACGCGACCACGGGAAAAACATGCAAACTCCAAATATACAGCCGTCAGGGTCGCGATCGAATCCACGACCTCTTGCCTAACAGGCGAGGTCGTTAACATCCCGGCACCGACACAGCAGCGCTGTCCATCACAAAGCAGAGGTCGGCGTCGTGAACGCTCGAGTGGGTAAGTGGCCGTGCGTCACAGATGCATTGGCTCGGAGTTGTTATATAAAAATAAAAATCAAATTTAACCCGAGGATGATCGGGAACTACAGCAAGGACAAATATACGCGTGCTCCTGCCGGGTCGAGCGAGATAGGATGCTGGTGGTCTCCTCTATCGAGGGTCGAATCACCCTGGACATGAGAGGGTGGCTGCCGCCACCTGTTTAGTCCCGCTTCTGCGGCCGTCTGGAACGCTCTTCCTTTCCGATGTTAGGAAGCCAATGAGAGCTATGCACTTTTAAATAATCTATATTGAAAACGTATTTCTTTAGAGCTGGTTTTTAAGTGTTTAGTGTTGTTGTCTTTCACCCCGCACCTCCGATTAGCACGGTTGGCTACATACGGTGCGAAAGAAGTTCAAGATAAAACATAGAAGGCTTGACTACGTACGGTGCAAAATAAGTTTAAACATGCATACATAGCATGGTTGGCTACGTACGGTGTGAAATAAACTCGACATACATACAGACACATACATTGCCACGGCCACGGCCACAACCACACCCGTGCAGGGACCTCGAGCTCAACCGCGATGCCGCCGTTCCGCCGGACCGCCGGGCGAACGCACCTGCCGCGCACGTAGATGTTGGCCACGGCGTAGAAGTACTTGCTGAGGTTGGCCGCGTCGACCGCCACGCCGCCCGTCGCCGGGCGCAGCAGCCGCAGGCGCAGGTCGGTGAGCGTGAAGAAGTCGCGCAGGCCGCGGTTGGTGTCCAGGCGTCCGTAGAGCGACGCCAGGTTCTGCATGTCGGCGCCCGCGTACAGCGCGTAGCGGTCCGTCACCTCGAAGCGCACCGTCTTGGCGTCCTCCCACACGTACGCGCGCGAGTACTCCTCCGTGCAGATGACGCGCTGGGCGGCGGAGCGCGGCAGCTCGCGGCTGTTTTGCGCCTCCATGCCGAACGCGTCGACGCAGTCGTCGGCGTAGTACTGGTACGGCTGCCACGTGCGCCCGTAGTCCAGAGACTTCTCCAGCACCATTACCTTTGGCGAGACGCGCAGGGGGCGGGCGGGGAGAGGGTGAGGGTCAAGGGTTTCACAATATGTTTTTTTTTTATAAAGATAGTCATTTCATGGGACAGTCCTTTGCCAGTACCTAAAATATGAGAATAGGTTTTCCGATTTTTTTCTGGCAACAAAACAGGTGGCCGAAACGTCGTGAGAATTATTTTATTATGTTTTATTTTTATTATTTTATTACTTCCCTTCTACGTGACTTTACCGAAAGAACCACTTAGATGAATCCCTGCAGTCATGAAAGCTTTAAATCGAAATTTAAACAAAACAGGTGTTGAGATGTTACTTGTGGTCAGAATGCAAACAAAAAACATACTCTGATAATATATGCATTGTGGTTAATGCAGACATGATTCCTTGCAAAAGGTTTCAGTTTGGTGTTTTAACATCTGAACACCTGTTTTGTTGCCAGAAAAAAGGGGAAAACGTTTTCTCAGAGATAGTCATTATTTAAGTGAAAATTAAGAGTGTTTGCAATAATCTAAAGTGGATTCTGCCATAGTAATGTGGAATTTACACCATTGCCTAAGCAATGTGAAATGGTCTCGAGGAACTGCTACGGTCGGCTGAGCACAGCAGACGTTCTTGACTCTAATCGATGTGACGTACACGTGTGTATAAATCTAACAGCGTGGGATTTTGCGACTGTTCTAACAACACGTTTTGCTATTTTACTTTCAAAATGTCTCCGTTTAAAATTGCATTCTTCCGTGCGAACAAATTCCAACAAGAAAAATAGAGAGATGAAGAGAGTAATTTATTTCAAGGCTCAAGACCAATACGAACCACATCGTTTAAAAAAGAAAGGGGACTGAAATCAAACGACACGCAGGGTGACGTCAGGGCACGATTAAACAATCGTCGGTCAAACTAAAAATACAATACACATATGGGACGCATTTTTTTCCCCCGTATCAAGATGGTGAGAATAAAAGAAGAGACTTTTCACTTCCTGGCAAGAATACAGGAGGTGTTAACATGTTCAAATACCAAATAGACATCATCATCAAGTCGGCATTAACGACATATCACTGCTTGCGGTAAAAAAAACTTGAAAAAATAATATTTATTTCCAAGCAGACGTCTCTCGGCTGATGAAATCTTCAGCGCGAGTTGGGTCAACATTCGAAGCTGCGGTCGCGATGATCCGCCCTTTGACCCCAATACGAGCCCCGTCCAGTCCACGAATTCCACTCATCTTCTGCCCGGGCCCCGTTCATAGTTGTGCCGCATTGCCGTATTCTCCCGATGGTTGCCAGACTCTCCCCTCGCTAGTCGTGCTTTCAAATGCAGGAGGTGGGTGAACAAAGTGGGCCCTCATCTGGAAAATACGGCAAAAAATATCTATCCCTCCCTCCCCTATCCCCCCCACCCACCTTCCATATTACTGCCACCCCCCCCTCTGTGCCCCCCCCCCCACCCACTTCCCAAGCTCTCCCCCGCCCGCCCCAACCCAACAAAAATATCACTTTCATTTCCATACGCGAAGCAGTTAAAATGTGTGTGTGCGTGTCTTGTGGTGTGCGTCTGTATGCGCATTCCCCCCGTACGTTTGTCCTTGCAATCAGATTTGTTGGTCATTAAAAAAAATTATCTCTCTTTTTATTGTTTCTCTCTCTCTCCCGAAATTGCTTTGAATCCTTGGGAGCACAAATTCGTGATGTGGGGCTGTAAATGCTCACGGCTATCGGTTCGGTTCACGCCGAGTGTCTCCCATTGTTCGGCTTGTTTACGGCCTCTGCTCTCAAACGTTAATGAGTCCTAAGATGCGCGCGTGCGCGCGTCTGTGTACGTGTTTTATTTTTGTGTCAATGTCCATGCTGGGACCATATATACGTAAACAATCGACACTCACCCGGGCTTTTCGAGAATTAAATTTTCGTTCAACCTTGCAACACAATTAAAAATAATCTCTCCCTCTCTTGCTCGCTCTCCCTCTCTCTCTCTCGCGGTTCTGTGCTTTGTTTTTATTTTTAAAATATAAAAAAACCTTAATTGTAAAATAACTATCGCGCTGCCTTGGGATGGAAGCATCTGTGCCTTTGTGTCCAACGTGAAGGACGAACAATACGGCTGTGGCACGCCACGATCTGTCCACTGCTGGATGAAGGCCTCCCTAAATCGCCACCGTATGTCACGTATGTATGTTGAACTCATTTCGCATCGTACGCAGCCAACCCCGCTAATGAGAGGTTCGTGCGACGCGACGGTCTATCTAGCGCCTGCACGTGAGCCCATTCCTTCCCTTGGCCTCTGCGGTGTCATTAGTCTCTGGTGGCGAGATGTTAACCACGTGGTGTACAGGGTCATGGGTTCGATCCCGACCCTGACGCCTGCTGTATATTTGAAGTTCGCATGTTTCTCCGGGTCCTCCTATTTTTCACCCCACATTCAGGAACATTCCTTTAGAATATTTGGTTGCTTTACATTTCCACGCGATGAGACACTTTGTTGAGCTATCACTTGTGGCCAGGTCGCTTCAGAAAAAGAGCTACACAGCTCAGTGGGCCTGAACTGAAACATTTTAAAGAGTTAAATAGTTAGTCAAACATCCATCCGTGAAGAAAAGCGTCTTCGTTTCGGGACAGCATCGCGCTATAAGGGTGGCGCAAATTAGCAGGTGTTCTAAATTATAATAACAATAATTATTTCTACACAAAAGTATGTCATGCATGTTGAACCTCTTTCGTAGCCTACGTAGCTGATCGGTGGTGCGTGGGTGGGAGGCCGGGGGGGGGGGGGTGAGAGATGGGAATGAGCCACACGGCTCCCGGCCGGCTCACCTCGGGCCTCGCCGACGCGAACGTGACCACCACGTCCTCGGTGAGCTCCACGCTCTTGTTCCACGACAGCGTGAGGTTGGCCTGCAGCGGCTCGGGGAAGCGTCGGCGCCACGACGCGCTCTGCCAGTACGTGGACGGCGAGCGGCCCTCGAGGTCGAACATCAGCGACGGGGGGTGCGCAAGGTCGGGCGTGGCCGCGTCGCACTCGCTGTTGCACATGTACGGGTTCTCCTGCCCAGCGCACAAGGCAAGCCAGAGACACAGACAGATATCGTCCCCATCGCCCACCTCCCCGCCTCGCCCTTGACGGACTGTTGGAGCAAGTGCCGCCAGCGAGCAGTAGCGCCAGCGAAGGCCAAGGGTAGGTCGGTCAACTCGATGCCCCCGGCCGCCTTTGTCTCTCCAGTGCTGGAGGAAATCCGATGAAGCTATGAAGCTCCGTTTCACAGATGCCCAGTAGGGGCGGGTCAGCAAGTTAGATAAAGTCGAGGCCCAGTACCGGTCCAGATATTAGCCACTGTTATCGGTCGTGGCGGCAGTGGTGGCGTTGGTGGTGGCGGTGGTGATTGTGGTGATGGTAGCGCGTTAATGTTTGTTTTCGTGTTTGCTTTCTGCGAGACCACCGGGCACGATGCATTGCGACACGACGCTAATCTGGCTTTATGCGCTCTGAGAATAGACCGCCCAAACCCTCTTACTGACCTCGATCGCAATCATCTCGATTCATTAACAAGATCGACGGGGCCAGGTGCACGCGAGCGCTTGAGTCGCGCGTGTAACCATCAGGCGGAGCTGGGAATCATGCGCACACCTGCGGCTCACCTGGGCGGCCAGGTGATGTCGGAGGGGGGGCGTCTGCTTCAGGTGCCAAGTCAAAGTGAATTTCCATGCTCAAATGAACAATCAGGCATTGGCGCTCATCTCCTGTTTACAGCCCTGGAGAGCCAGTGGTGGACATTCCACATTTCTATGGCGGGAATTTACACCATCCACAGGACAGCCAGCTACTTGTTGACTTCTCCCACAAAGCGAAAGTCATTGCATCGTATCGACCCTGAAAGGATGATGGGGCCGAGTCAACCGCCCCCATCCAGGATTTGAACTCGTGACCTTCCGATTGCGAGCCGCTCGCTGTAGCGTGGAGCCACCGGGCCGGTGGGGGAAGTGTCCACTGATCGCCCCGACCGATGGGCTCCGTCCGTCTGTCTGTAACAGGTCAATCAGAGGCCACTCTGACCATGATCCAATGCGGATGAAACTGTCGCGCGAAGTTGTGCTGCTATTTTAGGGACTTCCCCTGAGACAAAAGCAGTCACATCGATTATAGGGTGGTGTAAAAAAGTGGAAACCACACACGAGAGAAAATGTTTCCTCCCCCCCCCTCTCTCGCCCAAATTCATGTTGGCTCGCATCAAGATCAAGATGTCACCGTGGCCACAGGCGTTCATGCCATCATCACACCTCATCTCACCAACGCGTTTACACTCCACCAGGTCCAACAGCTGCTGCACAGCAGACACATCACAAACTGCAAGATCGCCCCTGACAGTGTCCCACCATCTGCTCTGAGACAGACTCACACAGAGACCTTTAGATTCACGCAAAGACCTATGGATTCATACAGAGACACGTTGATTCACACAGAGACGCGCTTGTTCACATAGAGACGCATATACTAACACATCGCAACCTTCAAGATCTGCCCTGACAGTATCCCACCATCTGCTCTTATGGAGAGTCGCACATAGACGTATGGATTCACACACAGAACTATAGGTCCATACAGAGATGCATACATTCACAAATAGCTCAATAGATCTGCCCTGATGGTATCTCACCATCTGCTGTTAGATAGACTTGTATAGCGACTCATAATAAACACACAGAGACACGTAGACTCACACGGAGACGCATAGCTCGTCCCGAAGAGCACCGCGTCATCTTGGCCATAGCTCTTCCCATTGGTCGCCGGGCACGTGGACACCACTCCACTGCCCGTCACAGTCACGGGCACCACCCTCCCCCACCCTGATCACGTGTCCCCCCACCCAGCGGCTACCGCTTGTTGTTGTTTTTGTTGTTGCTCATATCTACAGCACTGCCACGTTCTCATCCAGGCTGCCGATTAAACACTTACGAGGGCCAGACGCATGTTGGACAGCACTACGCCATCCACGCACCTCCGAATAGCACGGATGGCTACGTACGGTGCGAAAGCAGTTCAACATGCGGTACATGCACACGTGCGTCGGCATGTTTGCGTAGCGACTTGTGGACCGCGTCGTTTGGTTTTCGTGTTGGGAAGAAATTTGGAGGGCCTTGGGTTATCACCCGCGTGGCCCGCCACGCGCACTGCGCACACGAGGAGATGACGCTCGCACTACGTCACGGCAACACAGACTCACGACCCCCCCCCACCCCCACTTGCTGTACTGCCGTCTCCTGGCCCATCCACTCCGCAAGCGATTTTTGACCCCCCCCCTCGTCACATGGCGTCACAAAAAGTCAGACCCCCCCCTCAAATATGACGTCACAAAGCTCTGCCACCCATCCCCCCGAAAAATATAAAACATGCTTCAAATCGCTTTAACCTATTGTCATTGTAGTGCGTCTTTAATGTGGCGCTGCACTCCGATGTAGGAGAAAACATTTATTAAAAGTCTATTTAATTAAGTAGAACGTGTTGCCTATATTTATTTAAAGTTGCGCATTTTGATGCGACGTCACATTTCTCAAACCCCCCCTCCCCTCGTCACACATCGTTACAAATGTCTGACCCCCCCCAACCCCCCCTAGTTGCGTGACGTCACTCATGGACGGCCCTTCACGTGATCCACCAGCCCTTGCACTGCCTCCGAAGGGAGTGATGGATCGGGGAGCGGTGGACGCGCTCGTTGGCCAGCGATCCAGCGACTGTGAAGGCGAGGGTTGGTGAATCTCCGCACAGGTGTCGTGAGACTCCCTTCCCGTTGGGGGGTCCAGGAGGAGCCGTACCCCGGCTCGCCAGAAGACGGTACAGCAAACTGTGCAGCCCATCAGTACGGGATTGAGTGTTTCTCCCCTCGCACCCGCGGGGCATTCTCCCGGGTGCTTGAGTTTCATACCCACGTGTAAACACCCCTCATTAGTTGGCCGGGAATATCTTAATATATAGAGGACCGCAGAGCTGGGGCGAGTATTGGTCGCGTCGGCTCACTGTCTGGCTGCTGGCCCCTCTCCACTCGTCTTTGGGAGCGAGAACAAAGTGTTTAAACTATTATAATTTATTATCGCAATCGTCTCTTTATGTGGTTGTTTGGTATCGGTCTCCGGTGTTGACCGGGGGGGGGGGGTGATGGTAGGGAGAGAGGGGGGGTGCGTTTGATTGCCCGTTCCGCTCCGTCCGTTTAACTGAATTCCCCTGCTAGGGCGTTCGGGTTGAAGCGAGAGATGCCCAACAGGGCGCTCGGCACTTGCAGATGGAGCGGATTAAAGTGTGGGCGGTGGGGGGCTAAGGTGGGGGGGGGGGGAGCGGGGGGCTAGTTGGGGGGGGGTGTGGTGGTTTAAGTGGAGCGAAGTCTGAGTATCGCTTCATTAGGGGTCTCGGTGCTGCTATCTGATCCCCTGTAAACGCTCGTCTCGGCCCCAAGGTTAACTTAGGACGAGCCTCGCGCTCGCGTGATCTGCGAAGAGGGCAGCATTGCAAGTTGCCGCGACGAGATCACGCACCCGGGAATGCGACTCGCAGCCTATAGCACCTGGTATGCACGGCCTCGCTTAGCAGATCGCGTGCATTGCGGGTGACTGGGTCACATTGTTGTTTAGATTATTTTGCCGATTTTAATTTGCACGTGAATAAGCCACTTTTGTTGAGCTATCGTTTGTGGCTAGGTCGCTGCTCAGAAATAAGTTAAGAGCTCAGTGAGCTTCACTTGGCAAGATAAAACAATAGTTTAGTTTCATTTGTATATTTTTTTAAGTGATTTGTTTACATTTCCTTTACTTTGCACTCCGATCGTGTTTGTGTACTGTTTGTTGTTGTAACGTTCTGACCCTGTGCCCCTACTGGACATCTGTGATAAAGAGCTCTATAGCTTATCGGATTCCTCCAGCCATAAACGCATGTGTTTGCGTATGCAAAGAGGTAATGCGCAGCCCTGCAATTGCCCAAGTTATCCTGTCAGTAAACAACGCTGAGTCACCAACGTTGGACCACAACGATGGCCCAACGCTGAGGTTCCAACGTTCGCACGTTCACTGCGCAGCTGACTCTGCAGAGGTGGGAGAGTTGAAGAACCTTGCCGCATTGCATCAGCTGCGTGAGCAGGGAGGTGGAATCGAACCTGCGACCTCTGGATTACAGGGCTCAGTTTGATGACCATAACGCCCCGGCAGCTTCTCTCCTGTACACGGACATTTAAAAATTCAAAACTCGCTTCTTCTAGAAGTGCTTTTTTGTGTGTGTTGTCCTTCCCCCGCACCTCCAGTTAGCACGGTTGAATACGTACGGTGCAAAATAAGTTAAACATACAGACAAACAGTACACGAACAACACAACCTACACTTCCTCATATTTCTAATCCACAGCCCCCGAGCAAGCGGTTGTGGAAATTCCACGTTCCCATGGCAGGGGCGAGGACAATCCATGGGACCACAGCAACTGAAGACGTCAATTTGTGCCGCAATAAAATGTTAGCGGGCAGGGCCCTCGCTCCATTCATTACCAAATGGGGGGGGGGGGGGGAGGAGGAGGAAAGTGCGCGGTCCTTGCCTCAGTAGACCCAGCAAGACTGCTCCCCCATGGATCCAATGCACATATGGTGTCCGCGGGCAGTCTCCCGAGCGAAACGTGGTGGCGTTATTTAAGCTGAGGTCAACATGAAGACATCGTAGGAATCCCACGCACCCACGAAGCAAGCGCGCTGTAGGCATGCCGAGACGACATACCCATGGTGTGATCAATCCAGCACAGAAACAAGGAACTATCAGGACGAGCCCCGATAACCGATTCGCGAATACGAAGGCTGCATCGTCATTATCTGGCTCAAACCACCCGTTACTGAAACGTGATCGTTCGCTAGCCATCGAACAAAAACGGTGACCGCAAACGCGCTTTCCTATGCGCTTCTGCGGCCGTCTGGAACGCTCTTCACTCCGATATTATAAAGTCACAGGAACGTCGCCACGACTTGCACGGCGTGGGGAGGCCCTCATCCAGCAGTGGATTGAATAAAAAAGATCTCTCTCATTCCCAGGTCTCCACTTCTCCTCTTCCAACCAGGTTCCTCTCTCTCCCCCAGGACCCCCCCCCCCTCTCTCTCTGTCATCCAGTTACCCCCCTCCCTCTCAGTCCCCCCCACCCGCCATCCCCCCCCCTCCCACTAGGGTAGAGAAGTGCTCAGGCGGTTCTTCCCTGCAGCCCCCCGCCCCCCTCTCTTCAAGGTCCCCCCCTCCCACTTCTCTCTCTCCCAAGTCTCCCCTACCTTTATCTCAAGTGCCCCCCCCCCCCACGCCTCTCCCAGCCCCCCCCGCCTCTCTCAGCCCCCCCGCTCTCCCAGCCCCCCCCCCACCCGCCTCTCCCAGCCCCCCCCCCCACGCCTCTCTCAGCATCCCCCCCCCCCGCCTCTCCCAGCCCCCCCCGCATCTTCCAGCCTCCCCCCCGCCTCTCCCAGCCCCCCCTCTCCCCCGCCCCCCTCACCAGGGTGCAGAAGCGCTCGGGAGGGTCCCCGCACGTGATGTCGGGCGGCTCGAGGCTGACGCGCACGAAGCGGCCCAGGTCGGCGGTGGGCGGCTGGCACGCCGAGTACTCCCAGGCGGGCGCCAGCAGCTTCGAGTCCCAGCTGACGGTGCTCTTGCAGACGTCGTACTGCGCCAACGCCCGGCGGGGGCCGCACAGACACAGACCCAGCAGCAGCAGCAGCAGCGGCAGCAGCGGCAGCGTGGGCCAAGCCACAGCGACCCGCACAGGGACTCGCACCCCACGTCGGGCCGTCATTTGCGGCGACCCCCTCGTGGGTAGGAGGAGGAATTCTTGGGGTCTCCGGCGGACTCGTGCGTTCATCGGTGGCGTCCGCTGGTGTCGACGCATCCTCTCGACATCACGGCCATAGCGGAGGGGGTGGGGGGGGGAAGTTTTTTTTTGTATCCACCGCCACCACCTCCCCCCCGCCTCTTCCGACCACCCCACCCCCACCCCCGCTCCCCCTGCCCCAAATCCTCTCACCACCAAACAGCGGCTGCTGCGAGTCGACGGAGGAGTGGAGATGCAGCCCGGCGGAGGGAGCTGTCCGTCAGTGTCCAGGGTTAGTCCCGGCCGCTGGAGTCGCCGGCACAGATTCAGGTGGCAAGTGGCTCCCGTGTCGTGAGTTGATCGTCTTCAGTCTCCGCCAGGTCAGCCATGGACGCGTGCGACTTGTCTACGATCTGGTAGAGAGCAGACGGGACATGGTGGTGATGGGGTGGTGAATAACGTGGTTAAAATTTGTTTTTATACAGGGCTTGTACAATATGATGAATACAATTGAGGTGGCCAAGTGGGTGTCGTGGTTAGCACATCGGACTTGCAATCCAGACGGCACCCGGTTAGATTCGAGTAGCAGCAATAAGCACGTTTCTTACACCCCCCCCGCTCTGTCTCTAGTGAGGGCTCTTCCGCCAGCAGTGGCTTGAGCGAGCTAATTGCAGCGCTGCGCCTTTACAGATATCATTTAATGACATCACGTCGCAGGATCGCGAGAGGTGACGGCGGCTTGGGGAGGCCTTCATCCAGCAGCGGATTGACCATGGCTAAAGTTGACGATGCTGTAACAATGCACGCCCCCGTTATAAATGCGCCGTGCTCAAGTGTGCAGAAGGGCTCCCTCGTCTGTGAGTCGTGGGGTGGGGGTGGGGCTGCATGACCATACTTTACCACGCACGTGGGTGCCCAGGACCGGTTCGGACATCACTCATTAGTTTGGGGGGCTGTTAGTGAGCACGTGTCATGGGTGGAGTGGTGCACGCAGTTGAATTGGGGTACGCGCTCAAGGTTGAATTGACCTAGAGGAGACACGGGACCGCATTTTTTTAAATATCACTCGCCACTGATGTTAGCCGTGCTTAGCGCGTGATGCGTAATGCGTTAACCACAGCGCTACCGCTCCCCGATACTGAAATACACTCATTCTGATTGAACGAACTCAGCTACCCCAATACAACCACGCGTACCCTGGTGGAACGAGTGGACTGCTCCACTCAGCTACCCCAATACAACCACCTGTACTCTGGTGTAACGAGTGGACTACCCCACTCAGCTACCCCAATACAACCACGTGCAGTCTGGTGGAACTAGCGGACTACCCCACTCAGCTACCCCAATACAACCACGTGCACTCTGGTGGAACTAGTAGACTACCCCACTCAGCTACCCCAACACAACCACGTGCACTCTGGTGGAACGAGTGGACTGCTCCACTCAGCTACCCCAATACAACCACCTGTACTCTGGTGTAACGAGTGGACTACCCCACTCAGCTACCCCAATACAACCACGTGTACTCTGGTGGAACTAGCGGACTACCCCACTCAGCTACCCCAATACAACCACGTGTACTCTGGTGGAACTAGCGGACTACCCCACTCAGCTACCCCAATACAACCACGTGTACTCTGGTGGAACTAGCGGACTACCCCACTCAGCTACCCCAATACAACCACGTGCACTCTGGTGTAACGAGTGGACTGCTCCACTCAGCTACCACCCTTACGGAGTGGCCCACAGCATTAACCCCACAGCCGTTGTTGCTGGGTTTTTTAAACGCCCCACGATGAATTTTGCGTGCTCTCTTCACCGCTATCGATACGCTGTTGTAGTAAATGATGGATGATGAGGTTGTTGTGACGATGAAGATGATGAGGTGGTCACAATGATGCGGTTATGATGGTGCTGTCCTTCTCGATGATGGCGATGATGGTGCTGATCGTGTCCGTGTCGATGATGATGATGATGCTGCCAGCCACCAAATGTTGCAGCATTCCAGAAAATTCCGCGTGAGAAATGAATCCCTAGGGTTGGCAACACCTCGACACCACGAATCGAGTCATCTCGCGAAGTCCTTTAGTATTCACGGTTAAAACTCACCCCCCTCCCCCTTCCACCAATTGAGTTTCGTGTCTGCATTCAAATGTGGCCCCCACACGGCCGGCTCGTAATGAATTCGGTTTAATTAGAATGCTCCATGCGTGAATAAGAGGCACGCAGTTTCGCAACTCGTTCAAACGTCTTCACACCTCCAACATTAACCCAGGCGACTCGGTCGGTCGTTCTTTCTCTCTGTTTGTCGGTCTGTGGGTCTGTCTGTCGGTCTGGTGGTCTGTCTATCGGTCTGTCGGTCTGTCTGCCTGACGGTCTAGCGGGCTGTGGGTCTGTCTGTCAGTCTGTGGGTCTGTCTGTCGGTCTGGTGGTCTGTCTATCGGTCTGTCTGCCTGACGGTCTAGCGGGCTGTGGGTCTGTCTGTCGGTCTGGAGGTCTGTCTGCCTGACGGTCTAGCGGGCTGTTGTTCTGCCTGTCTGTCTGTCGGACTGTCGTCTGTCCCGGGTGGGACCGTGTTGGATCCACGAACGAGCGTTCACTCCCCGTCGCGCTCTTTACGCATTCACGTGACAGATTATTGCGCCGATGCCGCACTCGGATGCTGTGCGAGTCTTTAACGTCCCGCGACACCACCACCACCCGTGCACGCGAACCTCGTGGTTCCGAGATCTTGTAACGTAAAGCGAAAGGGAACCCACAGAGGCTGAGACGAGGGGCGTGCCCGCGCGGTGTTGTGGAGTGTGCCTGAATCGTGGAGCGCCATAGCGCAGTGCTGCGGACCCACCCAACAACCGGGTTCGATTCACGCTCACGGCGAACCATCCGTCAGTTACGAAGACGTGAACCGATCATGGTTCCTCCGGCTAAGTGACTAGACGACCTGGTGCCGCGTGTGAGCCTCGTTTCTGGCGACACCAACCCCCTGGATGAATTTCCCCCTCGAACAGCCCTTGTCTCACCAGCCTGCGTGACTAGACGGGGGATCTTTGTCTTTATCTTGCGATTCGTTGTTTTGTTTAGCGCGCGCGTTGTGTTGGAACACCACGGGGACACGCAGATCGCTGCGATGTTTGCTCAGCAAGGCGGGGGGCGCTACTTTCGATGGTCGCAGCGTGCGCGGACTGCGCGGCTGGCGAGCTTGACGCTCGAGTTATCGTCCGACTGAGCAGGCGACGAAGCGCATAGCAGGACAGTCGACACGATACGGGCATGTAGCCACTGCGGCCCCTCTCGGTTGAAGAGTCACAGCGACGGACGTGGAGGCGTCGACAGAGCGGTCATGCCCTCCAGGGCCTAGAAAGGCCAAGTGACCGGACTGAGTAGGAGAGAGGGAGACGCTCGCGCAGAGCTCAACAGTGCCGAGCCGCCCTCGGCACCGCGATGAGTGTGCGAGGTTCAGCTCGGCAACTCTCCTGTGGTCGATCTTCCTCGTGAGCTTCTTCTGTGAAGAACGTCTTTCTTCTTGGTTCTTTCGGCAAAGTCACGTAGAATTGAAATAATAAAATAATAAAAATAAAACATAATAAAATAATTCTCACAGGTCTGTCTTCTCGACAGACCTTTTCTTCACCTGAGGACGGCTGCTTGCGTTTTGGCCGAAACGTCGTGAGAATTATTTATTATGTTTAATTTTTATAATTTTATTATTTCCATTCTACGTGACTTTACCGAAAGAACCAAGAAGATGAATCCCTGCAGTCACGAAAGCTTTAAATCGAAAAAGAACGTCTTTCTTATTTCGTACGGCTGACGTAGACGCAGAGCTACGACCACAATCTCACATTCAGGCGTCGAGCCAGGGAGCAGTAGCGGAGCATCGCTGTGATGCCTCCGCTATGCGCGCGCGCGACGAGCCTCTGGGTGTCAGAGGGACGAGTTGCCGCCCGGGGGGCTGACGGGAAAGGAGCGAAGCTCGAGAGGAGGATTCGAGGACGCGAGCAGCGGGGACTGCGAGCGGAGGCCGATGCACAAATCGCGCAGCGCCTCTCACTCGGCACACACTCGTCCTGAAGTCACGAGCGAGCGATGTTCGAAGCTCGACTTTTCCCGTGCGCCGTCTCTCTCATGATCGCTCTGCTTGATAGACGACGATGACAATGATGATGCTGACGATGATGATGCTGATGATGATGCTGCTCCAGGCTATGCACCGTGTTCATTAAACCACAAGCGAGTGACGATCTCGACTTTTTGCGTGCTCTCCGTCTCGCTATCGCTACGCTGTTGCGTTGCTTTTGTAGTAGATGATGATGATGATGATGATGATATGGTGGTGGTGGTGATGATGATGATGATGCGCGTGTCGGTTACTCACGGTGTCGTGACGGATCGTAAGCGATGGTGGTGGAGCGGCCGCGCGCGTTCCCTGGAGCGCCATCGCCTGGCCGTGCCTACCTCTCAGCCCCTACCCCTAACCCTCCCATGCTCCCCTCGCGGCGGGATAAGCTCCCCTGCCCTCCCCCGCCGCTCAGGATAATCCCTCGACTCCGCTAATACAAATCCGAGCGCGCAGCCGCTCGCTCGCTCCTCCTCTGTGATTACTCCCCGCGCGAGGGAGCCGTAGCGGGGGGGGGGGGGGCAGCAGCGAGGAGGAGAATAATGCAGTGTGTGGTGTGGTGTGAGTGTGAATTACGCGGGGTGATAGGGGAGAGTCGACGGTGTTTTTACGTTATGTGTACGGATATTACAAATGTGTGCGTGGTGTGTGTTTGTTGGTGTGTGTGCGTGTGCGTGTGTCTAGTGCGGTGTGTAAACTTCGCCACTAGGGAGACAAAGGCGGCCGGGCGTGGTGCTGGCCACACCACCCCCTCGTGTGCCGTGCCGGCCTTTAGAGGTGCTCGCTAACAGCACTTGCCCCAACAGTCTGTTAAGGCTACACGGGGGGGGGGGGTCTTTGTCTTTGTGTTCGTTGGGGAGCAGTAGTTGAGTGGCTAGCGCGCTGCGCTACGAACCAATGACGGTGGAGAATATGTGAAGCGGTCGACTCAACCGGTCGACTTAACCTTAAATTAGTACCTGGTGCAGTGTGGAAACATCACCGCTGAGGAGACAAAGGCAGCCGGACGTGACGCTGCCGCGTGCCTGTATCGCCCTTCAAAGCTTCTACTCACGAACAGCACTTGCTCCAAAAGCGTGTTGAGGCTACTGCAGGGGATCGTTGCCTTTATTTCATGCGTAAGTGTAAGAGAGTATATGTGTGCGTGTGTTTGTGGATACATCCTCACTTTATCCCCTCCATCTCCGCTGTGGGTCTCTCTCTGCGCGCAGGTGCGCTGAGCAGAAATCTTTAACCCGTCATGGGAGTCATTGCCCAAAGAGTGTTCGCCTCTCCGCATTCGTCCACACAGACGATACTCCCTGGGGCGCGCGCGCGTGCGTGTGTGTCTCTGTGGATATGTGTGTGTGTTAACGTGGCCTCAACGTGCACCTAACCTGGCACAGGCGCCGTGGTGACGTCACCGTGAATGGCGTTGTGTTATGTGCGTGTAAAGATAAGCATTGGGGAGACAAAGGCGGCCGAGCCCGATGCTGGCCACCTACCCCACAGTGTGCCGTGCCGGCTTTCATAGGTGCGGCAGTCTGTTAAAGATCACATCAGGGATCTTCGTATTTGTGTGTTCGCGTGCGTGTGTGTGCGAAGCGGTAGTGTAGTGTATATCGCAGTGCGCTACGAACCCGCCTTTCCCGAGTTCGATTCCCGCTCACGACCAACACCAGTGACGATTATCCTGAGTCTCCCCTAGGTTGACTCAGCCTTCAATGGGTACCTGGTGCGATGCGTAAACATCGCTACTCGGGAGTCAACGGCGGTCGGGCGTGGCGCTGGCAACCCACCCACCCGCGCGTGTGCCGTGCCGGCCTTCGTAAGTGCTCTCACAAGCACTTGCCCCAACAGCCTGTGTAAGGCTGTACGGGGATCTTTGTCTTAGTGCGTGTACGGGTGTGTGTGTGTGTCTGGGTGCAAAGATCTAACAAAATATCATCGGTGAGCTCCTCCGGCAGGCAAGGCTGTGTTGGCTGGGCCATGTAACAGGTGGTGCATCAGCCAGTCGTCTCAGTCAGTCGACCCGTGGCATCTGGGTCTGCCCCGTAACCTCCTGCCAGTGGACGTTCGACACTTCACGTGGCCTCAAGGTGCACATGGCCTGGCACAAGCGTCGTGGGGACGTCACCGCCACTTAGAGGCGAATTGCGGTTATTGTTGTCTGAGTGCACCTGTCAAAAGGCCCGAATGGGTGGTGTGGCGAGTCGCCCTTATACCCACCAAGGCTGATTAATTAGCGTAACACCACTCCACCACCTCCTGCCTGGTCTCACTCAGCAATATGACCGACGCCTTTGGCAGGCGGTTTGCACGTTACCTCGTTGCTGCTGAGCAGCGAGGTTCAACAGACAGCACGCGGCAGGCGGTTTGCACGTTACCTCGTTGAGCAGCGAGGTTCAACAGACAGCACGCGGCAGGCGTGGAGCGAAATGTTACCGCGGTGGCGATTGTTGGAATAACTGTCACGAAAACTAAAATGTGAGCTCCGCGTTACTCGTCTCGTTTCTATTGTTGCTTTAATCGTCCGTCTCGTTTCTATTGTTTCTTGTTTTGTTCGTCTCGTTTCTATTGTTTCTTGTTTTGTTCGTCTCGTTTCTATTGTTTCTTGTTTTGTTCGTCTCGTTTCTATTGTTTCTTGTTTTGTTCGTCTCGTTTCTATTGTTTCGTGTTTTGTCCGTCTCGTTTCTATTGTTTCTTGTTTTGTTCGTCTCGTTTCTATTGTTTCTTGAGTTGTCCGTCTCGTTTCTATTGTTTCTTGTTTTGTTCGTCTCGTTTCTATTGTTTCGTGTTTTGTCCGTCTCGTTTCTATTGTTTCGTGTTTTGTCCGTCTCGTATGGAGTTGTGTTGTTTATGCATCCTCATAAACACAACATGCGCCTGCTGCTACAACTGCTGCTTCTCCTGCTGCTGAAACTGATGCTTTTGTTTCTACTGCTACCACTACTGCTGTTGCTGCTGCTACTACTGTTGCTACTGCTGCTGTTGCCACTGCTGTTGCTGCTACAACTACTAATGTTCCTGTTGCTACTACGGCTCCTGCAACTGCAGGTTGATACTACTGCTGCTTCTACTCCTACTACTGATTATACTACCGCTGCTGCCACTGCCGTCGCTACTGCTGCTGCTGCTGTTGATGCCGAATCAATGCGCACGGCAGGAGTGACTTCAATCCGAGGCGGCGAAGCGAGGACACACGTGGGGGACCCTGCGGGCTGGGACGCGTCTGCGAAGTTGTCTCTTCCGTTGGCGAAGACACGCGACATGAGGACGGGCGAGATAAGAGGAGGAGGAGGGAGGGGGAGGAGAGTGGGAGGATGGGTTGGGGGGGGGGGGCAACTATCGAGCGAGGCGATCATAGCGGCGCGCTTTGACGGATGATCAATACACCTCCATCCCATCCCGCGGATCGATTCACATCAACCGCACACCAGCCCGCCCGCCGCCCCGGGTTTTGAAGCGACCACCGCAGTTTCTGGATTAATAACGCGCTCCGGAAAGTAAGACGCACCCCCCCCCCCCCCCCCGCGTCGCACCCACGCAACGTGTGACTTGGTGTGAGTAAAGTTCTACAAAGCTGATGTCACACACCCAGAGCAGAGGCACAAGCACGCGTCTCGGATGATAAGACGCACACCTAATAAAGTTATACAAATCTGATCACCCAAAGCACACGCGCACGTGCACGTGCGTCAATAAAGTTACGCAAATTTGGTCACACGTTCACTGACACGCGACTACCATGCGTACCGGGCGCACCTCCAAAGGTTTTGCTTTGGAAATGCAGCGGAAGGAAAACACGCGCCCTTAGAATCCGGTAAAGACGGTGATGGCGAGACGCACGGGTGCCGTGGGAACGCACGAGGCGGGGAGGGGGGGCAGGTGGAGGCGGAATGTCCCTGTTGCTTAAACTATTTAATATATTTCGTTTTATTTGACCAGGTAAGGCCCCACTTTTTCAGAAGCCACCTGGCCACAAATGATAGCTCAACGGAGTGGCTTATCGTGTGGAAAAGGAAAACAGCCAAATAACTCCGAACGCGTGTTTCTGGAAAAAGAGAGACACGCAAAATCCAAATACGCAGGTGTCAGGGTCGGAATCGAACCCACGACCTCCTGCATACCAGGCGAGGTAATTAACATCTCGCCACCGTGGCGCCCCAATGCACATTTACCAAGAGGAGGATCAATACTCAGATCTCTACGTGAGCCACCAACCCTTCCTTGTCTCGGAAACGCTGGATCACAGGCGTGTGTCGTCGTCACGCCCGGCTAATTGCCATTAAATCAGCTTTAACAAAAAAACTAAATCGATCTCGCGTTTCGTGTTTCATCAGCTGAGGCGTCTCGTTCATTCGCCTTGCTTGGCCGCTCGCGTCAAGACCTCCTTGACCGCTTGTCACGGGACTCAAAGACGGAGGTGGCCGAATGACTCAGAGGTCCACAGCAGCGCTGAGAGACGTTACGGATGTTTACAGATGTGATCAGTGCTGGTGTCAGCCAAGCAAATGCGGTCCCCCGCAGATACATGGTGGGAACTCCACCATGTATCTGTGATTCTCAGATGCAGACTCGGCAGCAGCGAGTATCAGGTGACTACGCCGTGTTGATGATTCCTAGTTAAAGATCAAACCTGTCCGCAGTTGCCTGTCTCTCCGTCACTGCTGCCTGTAGATTGGTGACATTGTCTCAAATCTATTGAAATTGATTTCTTTAAGACGAAGGTACTTTGCAAGCCCACTGGCTATCAACAAAGATTCGTTCATGAAGCCACACACATATATAGACGCAGACACAATTTGAACCGAGAAGATGGGTACAAACTGAGCAGTCATTGGAAGGATATTATCAACCAGTCTGAAGTCATAACTGGCTGTGATGTTCCCATCCTACAACCTTCGGATGTGAGTTGTGCTTTGCGTCCATTTCAAACTTGCACTTCCACAGGGTTCACGCTCACACAGCCACTTCGTGCGTTGCGGCTCTGCGACCTTCCATTAACATGCTAACCCCCCATTAACATGCTAACCCCCCATTAACATGCTAACCCACCATTAACATGCTAACCCCACATTAACATGCTAACCCCCCATTAATATGCTAACCCCCCATTAACATGCTAACCCACCATTAACATGCTAACCCCCCATTAACATGGTAACCCCCATTAACATGCTAACCCCCCATTAACATGCTAACCCCCCATTAACATGCTAACCCCCATTAACATGCTAACCCCCATTAACATGCTAACCCCCATTAACATGCTAACCCCCCATTAACATGCTAACCCCCCATTAACATGCTAAACCCCCATTAACATGCTAACCCTCATTAACATGCTAACCCCCCATTAACATGATAACCCCCCATTAACATGCTAACCCCCCATTAACATGGTAACCCCCCATTAACATGCTAACCCCACATTAACATGCTAACCCCCCATTAATATGCTAACCCCCCATTAACATGCTAACCCACCATTAACATGGTAACCCCCCATTAACATGGTAACCCCCCATTAACATGCTAACCCCCCATTAACATGCTAACCCCCCATTAACATGCTAACCCCCATTAACATGCTAACCCCCCATTAACATGCTAACCCCCCATTAACATGCTAAACCCCCATTAACATGCTAACCCTCATTAACATGCTAACCCCCCATTAACATGCTAACCCCCCATTAACATGCTAACCCCCCATTAACATGCTAACCCCCCATTAACATGCTAACCCTCCATTAACATGCTAACTCCACATTAACATGCTAACCCCCCATTAACATGCTAACCCCATTAACATGCTAACCCCCCATTAACATGCTAACCCCCATTAACATGCTAACCCCCCATTAACATGGTAACCCCCCATTAACATGCTAACCCTCCATTAACATGCTAACTCCACATTAACATGCTAACCCCCATTAACATGCTAACCCCCATTAACATGCTAACCCCCCATTAACATGGTAACCCCCCATTAACATGCTAACCCCCCATTAACATGGTAACCCCCCATTAACATGCTAACCCTCCATTAACATGCTAACTCCACATTAACATGCTAACCCCCCATTAACATGCTAACCCCCCATTAACATGCTAACCCCATTAACATGCTAACCCCCCATTAACATGCTAACCCCCATTAACATGCTAACCCCCCATTAACATGGTAACCACCCATTAACATGCTAACCCTCCATTAACATGCTAACTCCACATTAACATGCTAACCCCCCATTAACATGCTAACCCCCATTAACATGCTAACCCCATTAACATGCTAACCCCCCATTAACATGCTAACCCCCATTAACATGCTAACCCCCCATTAATATGCTAACCCCCCATTAACATGCTAACCCCCCCATTAACATGCTAATTTCCTATTAACATGCTAATTTTCACCTGGCAGCCCTTTGATTGCCCACCACTCGCATTGTCATTGGCTGCTGACATTTGGGCTACGCCGATTTCAAACTCCTTTACAAACAGTTTGCCTTGGCAGCTCACCCCCCTTTTCCTGAAGACGACCGCTTGTGTTGCGATCGAAACGTTGTCGTTTTTTTCATATTTTTTATTTTCTTTTAACCTATCTACGTGACTTTACCGAAAGACCCAAGAATATCTAGTGTGATGGTGACCACCTATAAGAAAAGATGACCACAACGCAATTCTTCGGGAACTGCCAATGTTTTTTGTTGTTGTCGCATACTCTGCAAAAGGCCGAGTGATTTTTGTACACGACGTGTCCGTGTCTCTTGTGTTAAACCTATGAGGGTTGTTGTTATTATTTTTTTATGTCTTCCGGCCCGCACAATTGCTCTGGTGTGATGTCATTCACAGATTTGATTACCGGTGAGAGAGCGCCTGGGTTCCAATCCGGGTTCTCGCTGCTCACTGCGAGACTCGCGAATAATTTCTTTGTCCCGTTGCAATCAAGAGGTCGATAATACAATTTGAAAAGGAATTTAGATTAAAAGAGAAGATTCCGTAGACGGATGGCAATTCACGCCGCTCCCCGCACTGATCGTATCGCTCCGTCTCCACGGTGCTGAACGTCAACAGCTACGCCTCGTTCGTCTCTCCAACGAGGCGTCATTTGCCAAGCTCGCTCGCTCTTCCCACCAGCCTCTGGACGTCTTCTACCCGACGGCCTCTCTCTCTCTCTTTCAAGTCTCTCGCTGCACTGCTCCGTGCCTGCACCCTCGCTCCGCGCTTCTTTTACGCACTTTTCAGCTTTTCTGTTCCAATGTTTGCTGTCAATGTCCCACCGTGTTTGTCGAACCACATGTCACAGCGGGCGATACGCACTATACATATAGATAAACACACGCATCCCCGCAATCCCATTCCGTCTATCCGTGCGTACATCACTTTGTTTGTAAAATATGCGCTGCGTTATTAACATTTGAATTGGAGTAAAAAATATATTTATTATTTTTTTGTGATTGACTGCCAGGGAAATGTGTACTCGGCTGGTCCCACAGGACCTGAGTCACATTCGTGCCACAGTCGTTTGCATCCCACGACTGATTTGAAATCTTAACCCAGCAGGTGTTTAATGCGATGCAAAATTGTTGGCGCGACAGCAACAGCCCGAACTCGGCATCGCCGCAGAGTTGGAGCGCTGAGCTGGCGCGTGCTGAGAACCCGAGTTCGAATCCAGGTTTCAGCCCACCGTGAGTTCACGGGACCCTCAAGATGCATAGCGGCTTGATGGTCTCCGCCATGTCACCAATGACTAGCTGGCTGGATAACCACCCCCATCATATGAAATTTGGTTCTGCACCTAAATTTGGCAACATTTCAGCTGTGAGAATAAAAAAATAAATTTGATTTGACCGTCATGCGATGAACATTATTTCGAGAAAGCGTTGTCCCCTAGTTCGTGGATTAGAAGTCAGGTAACATTATCTCTGATGTGGTTCTCTGACATCCGCTTCCGTGGGCTATTGTTGAACATGAAGGTCTGCACTCTGATGGGTGATGGTGGTGACGGTAGAAGTGGTGGTGATAAGTCAACCTATCGGAGGCCCAGAACCGGTTCAGATATTCGCCACTGTTTATTGGTCGTGAGCGTGAATCGAACTCGGGTGGCCAGGTTCATAGCGCATTTCCGCTAACCACTACAATACCGCTGCCCAAAAGCACAATAATGTCCACAAAGACAAAGATGCCCCACATAGCCATTGAACAGGCTGCCAGGGCAAGTGCTATCCCCCCGGCACACATACATACACACATACACACGCACACACGCACAGGCCTCACGCGCGGCTCTGTTCCGACCCATAACTCACGCGGACCAAATGAAATTCTTTGCCTTTTTTCTCTCTTCTGGCCAGTAACTAAATTAATTACGGTCGCATATTGGAATACATATCTCACTTTACAGGAGTGGCGATGGGCGGGGAGGTGGGGGAGTGGTGGGGGGGGGGAAGCGGGGGGGGGCGATACAGGGGGGCTGAGTGGCTACAGGAAAAATACTTTTTATGGCCTGGAAATGACTTGGGGGTAATTTACAATATGTATTACAGCGGGTGCGTAACTCCCATCGAGATCAATGTGAAGTGCCTCGTCCATAACTTAAGTTTTAAATGGCACAAGCCTTCTGCGCCGGTTTGGCCCCTGTGAGCAGCAAACGACCACGGCGCCGGAGATGATAAAACACGGGACAGAAATAGTAATATTATTAATAATAACGTCTCCCCTGTGTGTGGTGTGTGTGTGTGAGCTCGGGTTGTTACCCGTGTGTTGTGCGGCACGATGTTCGACGTTTTGCTGCACGTGCTGGGTGAGGAGCTTCTTCAGGAAATGAATTCTTATTAGCACGGTTGGCTACGTACGGTGCGAAAGAGTTTTAATATACATACATTCCTTGAATGTGAATATTAAAATTGGGTGGACCATGTGACAGGCAGAGTTGATGGTCGCAACCTGGTTACCAGCGACAAACAGAAAGAGAGAGCCACGGGCTCACACCGAGACCCATAGGTTTGCATAGAAACAGACAGAGTCACATAGAGACCCGTAGCTTTGCATAGACACACACAGGTCACATAGACACCATAGACGTGCATAGAAACATACAGAGTCACACGGAGACCAATAGGTTTGCATAGAAACACACAAGGGGTCACATAGAGACCCATAGGTTTGCATAGAAACACACAAGGGGTCACATAGAGACTCATAGGTTTGCATAGACACACACAGAGTCACATAGAGACCCATAGACATGCATAGACACACACAGAGTCACATAGAGACCCATAGGCGTGCATAGCAACACACAGGGTCATATAGAGACCCATAGGCGTGCATATAAACACACAGGGTCACATAGAGACCCATAGGTTTGCATAGACACACACAGAGTCACATAGAGACCCATAGGCGTGCATATAAACACACAGGGTCACATAGAGACCCATAGGTTTGCATAGAAACACACAGAGTCACACAGAGACCCATAGAGTTTGCATAGAAACACACAGGGTCACATAGAGACCCATAGGTTTGCATATAAACACACAGGGTCACATAGAGACCCATAGGTTTGCATAGAAACACACAGGGGGTCACATAGAGACCCATAGGGTTTGCATAGAAACACACAGAGTCACATAGAGACCCATAGGTTTGCATAGAAACACACAGAGTCACATAGAGACCCATAGGTTTGCATAGAAACACACAGGGTAACATAGAGATTCGTAGGTTTGCATATAAACACACAGGGTCACATAGAGACCCATGGACTCACTGTAGGAACTGTGTTTTTGTTTGCGCATAGTCACTTTAAGATGTTTTCTTGTTCATGTTTTTGTTTTTTGTTTGTTGCGGTTGCACCCGATTCAAGAGCCGAATGGCTCACATACCAAATAAATGAAAACTGAAAAAAAACTGAAAAGTGTGGTGAGTTGTGTCTTGTGTGTCCCAGTGTCTGGTGAGTGGTGCTGTGAATGCCTGCTGAGTGGTGAGTGTCAGTGTTTGCGAAGCGGTGACCGAATGGTGAGTTGAGTGTCTGGTGATTTTGAGTATCTAGTGAGAGTGTCTGGTGATTGGTGGATGTCGCCTGAGTTCCTGAACGTGGAGCGAAACGTCGGACATTTCTTCTCCTCTCACCACTCTCTCATCACCGTCTCTCTCCTCTCCGCCATCGCTAATCCACGTCTCAAGAACAGCAGCGTCAACGCACGTGCACATACACCCGTCAGTATCGTACACGTTCAAGACAAGTTTCAATCAAGTCTGTTTATTTACTACCATTTACGGTTGGTTTCAATGCGTGTTGATACCCTGTGCTTCTTCAATTACGAATGTTCATTTCCAGCACTTGGGAACTGCATTGGGGATTTGCGTCGTGAATATATAGTTCACATCGTAATGACTTAGTAGGTTGACAATCCTATGTGGATTTATCTTGTTCTCCGCTGTATGTAAATGAGAATTCACATTGAAATATTAAAGTCACTGACATATTTGTTATGTTTTCTTTCAATGCCAGCTGAAGACGACTGCGTGGATCATGAGCTTAGTTTTCTGATGTCACACCCTTGTCAAAATACCCGATTATAATATTCACTTGCATAGAAACCTTTACGTGTAATGCCTTGTCAAGCTGCCGGTGCTGGGAATTTGCACAATTCAGCCGAACAAAACCTGCAAACCCTACCAAGGTGAGATGCCGATTCCAAAACTGCTTTGGGAAAGATACATACAGTTCCACTGCCACCACCAGAACTATCATCATTACCACCAACGCCACCACCACTATCATCATTACCACTCGCACCACCACTACCAAAACCACAATATTTCCAGCACCACCTATCAAGGCCGGCAGATGTGGGTGACCAGCACCACGTCCAGCCGCCTTTGTCTTCCCAGTGGTGATGTTTACACACCGCACCAGGTACTCATTTGAGGCTGAGTTGACCCAGGGAAGGCCCAGGACCGGTTCAGATAATCGTCACTGGTGTTTGCCGTGAGCAGGAATCGAACCCGGGTCGCCAAGTCCGTAGTGCAGCGCGCTAACCGCTACACTACGGCTCCCCACGCACACACACGCACACACAGACACACACGCACACATGCGCAAGTACACACACACGTGCACACGGATGGCCTGCCTGTATTTCCCGGTACCGCTGGGGCCTCTTCTGTGCAGGCGAGCCGGTGACTGCTCGCTGTGCCAGCGCAGGTTCGGGTCAATCACTTTCTGAGCTTGCCAATTAGTGGAGGGGGGGGGGGTGCAGGGAGGTGCCGGGCGGACTGGGGGGGGGGGGGTGAAGTACATATCGACCCCCCCCTCCCTATTTTTTTATTACGACTCCCGGCTGTGTTCATCAGCATTTTTGTGGCACGGGTTTAATTCGCGACGGGAGGGGGGTGAGGCATCGGCGACTTACGGAGGTGGCCTCAATCCGGCGGTGGATTGACCATCGCTGAAATGATTCACTGGTCAACACACCTTTTTCTGGCACAAGGTATTCCAACAATTTTAAGGTAATTTTGGGGTGCGGATTCCAAATCTGGCATCAGTTTTTGTCTATCCCATCAGGTTTTTGAGATCTCAAATATTGCATTTTCAATAAAAGAAAAATATTAAATAAATGTGGATATCTACATAAAATGATATTATAAACACACTATCCTAAAAATACAGAACCATATTTTAACACTAAAGCAGTCACTGACTCGAAAAACCTTGCAATCATAAGTGACAGAGTTAATTTCGGGTAGAATCAATGAAAATGGGGTATGCCGATAGCATAAAAATGAGATGTGATAGAGCAAATCTGAGATCAGATTTTGAATCAGCACCCTGAAATGAGTCTGAAACAGCTGCAAAAGTCCAGACCAGAAATTTGTTTGTTTGTTGACCAGTGTTATTTATGGTGATGATGGTGGCGGTGATGATGATAGTGGTGGTGATTTGAATGAGGATGGCGATGGCGCTCTGCTGTGCTGCCATGCCTTGTGAGCTGCATCTGCTTTGTATTTTAGCACGGTTGGCTACGTACGGTGCGAAAGAAGTTCAACATAAATGTTTATTTCGGAAGGAATTTCTTGCATGTCCGGCGGTTTGAATTTCGTGAGCTACTGAACTACACGCTGCTTGGACAATATGAATCCCGGCATGTTTCACCACCACCATTATCATCGGCAGCCATGAACTATCCACTGCTGGATGAAGGCTTCCCCAAGCCGAGGTAGTTAGAACTGTTAACACCGAGTACAAATGCCGCACTGGGATGTGGATGAATTCGATTGGTCAGGGCGGATATGTGACGGTCGGATATGCGTTGGCTGTACTCTGTTTAATTTGAACCAGTGGGGTGGTTCCCCATCTTACGGGAGGATGGGGCGAGGGGGGTGACAGCAGGCGAGTCGTTCAGCACGCCCAATCGCAACCTCGCAGCAGCTGTTTCATATCGGCACCCGGCCCACCACATCCAGGATACCCCTCGCTATGTTCGGTGTGGCTACTAAGTGGTCAAGCGGCAGCTGCCCGAGTCTGAGCAGAGACACGACATCATTCGGTGCTGAATTAATGAATCTGCTCACGCCCCCCCCCACCCCCCTCTCGCTCTTTGGATTGCCAATGTCGGGCAGCTGAAATATATCTCCCCCCTGCCTCCACTCCCTCCGATTCGGCCACTTTAGTGACGCTCGTTGCTCCATCACCGAGCGAAGCGGCCGTGCCCGCCAGGGTTGCCCGGAGCGCGAGAGGCACCGTGCCGCTAACACCTCCCCTCCCGCTCGCCCGCGTCGCGCTTGACCCTCCACGCGGGGGTGCTCGTAAGGGGTCGATCTCACCTCTCCCGAGCGTGCCTCTTAACCCCCCACCCCCTCCCGTCACCCTCCACCACCTCCCCCGGCCCCGCCCTTCGCCGCGCACCGTAATAGATTGCCACCAGCAGCACCCGTGACGTGCGGTAATAATGACTTAATCACTTACCGATAAGTTTTCCCTTGGGCCGAATTTGCTGGGGTGGGGGGGGGGGGAATTTGGAGGTGGGGGGGGGGGTTATTTAGAATGCAGCGGCCACGGCGTTCAATGTGCAGATTAAAATTCGGCAGCGCTGCGGCTGCCAGCGGCGGACCATCCCGGCGCATTCAATTCTTAATCATCGTTCGACCCTGATGGATGCGCGCTCGAGGCGCCGTTTAATTCGTCGTCTTGTGCGCTCGGTGCTGGTGCCGCCTCTCAAGAGGACCCGCAGCGCGCGGTCAGGCGACAGGACGGCGGCATGGTGCCGGCTACGCTGTGCCCTCGTCTGTGTGTGTCCGCGTGTCCTCTCGTAACCCGTTTCCACTGGCACTTCCGAGCCAGCACGGGGTTGTCACGGTTTGCGTGGTGT